GGGGATAGATTCCTAAAGCTGCCGGGGGGAGGGGCTGAGTGTCGTCTCCAGGTATGGTGTGCGCGTTGATTGCTGGAGGTCCTGGGTTCAAGCCCCGGTTAAGTGGACTTCAGGTAATTTCCCCTAGACTCTGGGTAGTAAGATTGGGTCCCCATGTGTATTATTGCGTACGTAAAAAAAATCCCCTGGCAGTTGGAAATTGAAAAGAGTTGACTAACGGCGCTGCCCAGGCAAAATTTGTAGTTACAAATCTACCCAAAGTATTTCAGGATCCTCGCTGGTGCAACGGAGTTCAAGCACTGTGCTGAGGTTCTTCAGACTCAGACTTGAGTTAGAAGTAAAACGGAGCACCTATGGGTTAATAAACATAAACAGATCATGAGCTGGGTGTCTAAGACAAATATCATGTAATACATGAGATGGTAGCAGTGATCCTGAAATCCCATGCCTTAATTGAGGATGACCCTTGCTAACATGAGCAGGCTTTGCTAGTGACACTTGCTGTGAGCTGTTTTTCTTGTGCCTCCATATAACACAATAAAACACCATCATCTGGAAAGACTGACAGATTTCAAGGGTTGACAATCAGAGACCAGCCACTACTTTCCAGTACGCTGCACATCAGCATAATGTAATTGGGCGTCTGCGAGACAGGTCACGCAGAACTCCAGGAAAGAACAGAACAACTACCTTTTAACAACCCCCGTGGTGGACACCTGAAGTCGCAGAAGCCTGGACAGAGAAACGAGGTGCCACCAATGACTGTGAGAAATGCAGAAAGTCTTCGAATTTTTCTGAGGCTCCTGGCTGTTGTGTGGTTTCTCATCCAGTAGTTTGTCATTGCTTTCTGGACGGTCGGCTTTCTTGATACCACTGTCGAAATCAACGCAAGGCGCATTGAACCTGGCATCCCTGCATTACGAAGCGAAGCGTTCGCATCGACTTAGCCAGAGAGCCGATGAGGCTCATAAACAAGACATTAAACACACACAAAAATCAGACTCCCTGAACATTTAAAAAAACTCGGAAAGGAGTCTAAGCACACAATGTGGGAACATTTTTGCCAAGAAATAGGTTACGAAAAATCTCTCAGAAAATTCTGGCGGCTCCACCAAAAGATGAACGGAGGCAAACAAATCTCTGTTATGCCAGAGCTAAAGATGGACAATAGAGTGGGGTTACAGTCGGATTAAGACAAAGGCGAGGCTATCCTGCATAGATTTCTCAAGAAGGCGGAAAAGAGAGATAGGGAAGAGAGGGAGCAGATGAAACAGAGATTACACAATATCCATATGGCTGAAATGGATGAAGACGATAATACAGTATACATCTCAACTGATTGCATCAGAGCAACACTGAAGACCTGTCCAGACACAGCTCCAGGGCCTGATGGCATTAGATAGAGCGACTTCAAAAGCCTCGAGACAGATATGGATGAACTATCCACGATATTGAACAACACAATGAAAACTGGCATTATCCCTGATGACTGGCTCCACAGCTACCTCAGATCGGTTCCTAAGCCAGGGAAAAATCACATGAGAATAAATGGCTACAGAATCATCACACTAGAGACACTATTGGAAAACTCTTGGAAAAAATCGTGGCTAGAACGTTGACCCAAACATTGGAGTCAGGTAGTCTATTCCCCGCTATACTAGGTGGTTACCGACCAGGAAGAGATACATGGTGCAATGCTGTAGTATTTGCCTACGACACACATGAGGGTTTCCAGGAGGGAATAGAAACAGCTGCTTATAAGATGCATACAACAGCGTCCCATACATCATGATCATCAGACTGCTGTTGGATATGCAAATAGAAACAAAAGGAAGTGGTCAACTGAATTGCTGCAGAGCTATTCGAAAGAACAGTGTCGCTTCAATGTGGTGAATGGGCATTCGAACCTCAATGCGTCCTAATGGGTCTGCCCCAGGGATCATCATTGTCGCCTGTGCTCTTCAGTGTGTACACAGCAGGAGTCACGAGTGCACAAAGTGTAGGCTTAGGCAGAACAATGTCGTATGCAGATGATATCCTTGTTTACCGTCGAGGTAAAAACAGGCAGGAAATTACAACCACACTACAACACAAACTAGACAGACTTAATGAGTGGTGCCAGGAATCAAGAGCTCAGGTGAATTCGTCCAAAGCCTCCTTAACATGGTTCTCTCTGAATACCCACATCGTCAGTACACCAACGCGTCGTAAGCATCTGTGGTGTGGACATCGAGAGAACGAACACCATGAAATACCTGGGCATGACATTTGACAGATGCCTGTCATACAAATGCCACGTAGACAACGTCATACTTAGAGCCAGGAAAGGTCTGACAGCACTCAAGGTGTTAGCAGCAGCTGAACAACGCCTACTTTTCCTTCTCTATCAAGGGTTTTATTAAGCGTCATTGACTATGGTCTATGCAAAGGCATTAAACAGGCATCTGAGTTTAAGTATCTGGGAACTACATTTACCGAAGATGGGAAATTGGATAAAGAAATTAACATTAGATGCAGTAAAGCAAACCAAGTATTGGGACAGCTAGCCCCCTTCTTACAGCATAAGACAATCCCAATCAGCACAAAGAGACATCTTATTCAAAGCATATTTATTCCAACTCTGTGCTACCAGTGCCAGACATGGTCACTCACAACAAACCATAAAAGAAAATTAGTAACCACGGAAATGAGATGTCTGAGAAGGGCTGTAGGAGTGACCATAAGAGAAAAGATCAGGAATGAGATCATAAGAGAAAAAGTTGGCACAGAACCAATTCTGGATTACATACGAAGACAGCAAGTGAAATGGTTTGCCCACTTAGAGAGAATGCCTTGTGACACCATACCATACAAAGCATACATGGAAAGAGAAGAAAGACGTAGAGCACGAGGTAGACCAAGAACAAGATGGAAGGATAACATCAGAGAAACTCTACAACAGCACGATGTGCCTATGGTCGAGGCGGCCAGAAGAGCTAGAAACAGAACCTTATATCTCCCTCGACACCCACAGCAGTAAAAGAGGAAGTGAAGAAGAAGAAGCAAAACCCAGATAGAAAGACTAGACCGAATACAAAATGAGGCCATGAGACTCATACTTGGCTGCACAAAAGACACCTTCTGCAACGCCATGCGTTAAATTCTGGGTTTGCCGACGATGACTAGCAGATACAAAGTGGCACAGGTTAAGGCGTACATGAGGGTATCAGCAGACGTTAACCACCCACTGCACAAAGCTATAAACGACACAAAAGGAACGCGTGTCAAAAGAGCCAGCTCTTGGATGGCAAAGGCTGAGGATTTAATCCAGCAGGTTTGTGACCTAGACGTGATCAGTCATGGAAAATAATGGATGAATACACCAGTAGACATGCATGGCAACTCTAAGGTTGTCATCACACTCAGAAGGTACTGCCGGGATCAAATTCCTGCGGCCGTATACACAAAAGTAAGAGAACTGATAGATCAGCATTCATACCCAGAAGATATCTACACACGCGGATCAAGGTCAGCATTGGCATACACAGCGCAAAGAAGGGGGAAAACAATACAAGAGTACAGCGGCGCTTACCAGACAACCACGCTAAGCCTGACCATAGAAATAGCCGCTGCTTCTAGAGCTTAAGCATGGGTATCCGAGCATACCGCCACACAGGCAGTTATTGTATCAGACTCCATGAATATGCTTCAGAAGATAACAACAGGCAGTATGCGCTCTGAATGGGTAGAAAGCATTCGGATATCGTACGTAACCTCCGTAATCTGGATCTACACACCGGGTCATGCGGGTGTAAAGGGAAATAAGCAAGCCGACCAACTGGCAAGCACTGCGCTAAGGATTATGGGAAAAAGCATGTACAGAGCAGATATCGTCAATGCTGTACGGACTGGGCTAGTGGATAATGAGGAATTCCTGACACTAACACAATTGCGTGACATGGGAGTAGAGCAAGGTGAAGCACGTCTTTGCCGTCTTCGAGGCCGAGATAGGAGACAATATAACCAGCTTCTCATAGGAACAATTATTAAAAGTACTTTGGAGTGGCTGCTGCAACGGAGGACTGAGCACGCATGGGAATGCCCAATGTGCAGGGACGTCGATTATGATAACATGAAATAACACAACATCTTGTAGGGAGGCGGCAGTCCGAAACCCAAGTTCAAGGTGTCTGCTTCGTGCCAAAGAACTGCATGGCTGTTGGGTGAACAGTCATTAACGAAGGCAGGCAGGTCGTTATAAGGGCAAATCTTGCTGGTGGATGTAATGTCCCAAACCCCTTTCCCAGCTAATAGTGAGGATACTGCTGGAGTGACCGTGTATTAACCCTCAAATAATGCTTCAGGTCAAAATGGATGCTAGGCACGGCCCCTTTTTGTAGCCGTGGCAAATTTTTGCTTTTGCTAGACGGTAGCCGTTGCATTTTTGCTCCACTTTTAGACTGGAAGGATATAGTTTTGTTGCCCAGCTTCTGAGTTGAGTGCATGGTGTAACATTGTGAGCTGCGGATTTCATTTAAACTGTGATAAACATTTTATGTGTTTTTCGTTGGCGCAAGAGCGGAACAGTTATGGGGGCGACCCGTTTGCTGTGAAGCTGAAACTAAGATTACCAGTGATTATGTCAGTGATAGCACCTTAAAATTGTCTACAATAAATCCTGGTGTGCGTTTTGGAGTTCCATTTTGGAAAACAAACAATTTGCCCCCCCCCCTCCCCACACCCCCTTTCCCCAACAAGCATATTGAAAGGGATAGCTGATTAAAAAGTCAGAGTGCATCTGCCCGAGAGGCAAGGAACCAGCAGTCTGCATACAAATAAGCCAGATCTCTAAAATGGATGTGGACTCAACTAATGGAACAAGACCAAAGTCCACTAGTGGACGAACAACCAGAACTTTCTGCTGGAGTGTTTAGACAGTGAATGCGAAAACAAAAAGGAGGAGAGCTACAATAATATGTAATTATTGGCTTTTAAAATAGATATATTTGTTTTTATTTCAGGTGTATATACCAAGCAGAACAGCCATTGTCCTAGCCAAGATTGACTAAAGAAATAGTTGCTGCCAGATTGGATTGTAACTTCACCTCAGCAAGCCTGTTGCTTTGTCAGTGTTGCCTGGTTGTGTGTTGTTGCCAGCGTTTGGAATGGAATAGCTTTTCATTTTGAGCTCAGGATATTTTGAGTTTGTGGTTTCCTTCTTTTTTTTTTTCTTTTATTTGAAAAAGGATGTTACTGTCATGTTTTTCCAGGATAAAGTGGGTTTTTAATCTGGTAAAACCTCATTTTTGAAATAAAATTCCTGTTGCTTTTCCCGTATGTAATTCCAGTGAACTTTTATCTCATTTTCATTAATTTAAGAATATTTGTAGAAAAACATTGATTTTTCATTGTGTAGGTATAGTTCCTCAGTGTAAAGAAAAAATTCATTTTATGCTGTCATTTATTGTATAACATTAGCAGGGTGTTTTTTTACTTTGACACTTAACCTTTTCACTGGTCATTGAATTGATTTTGCACACATAAATGTCAAATAATTTTTTAAAAACTCTTAGACCAACTTGTTTTTGTTCTTCTGGCGGAAAGTTCTGCTTGTTCGTCCACTTCTGGACTCTAGTCCTGTTCCAGAACCTGAGTATTGCAGGCACATCAATTTTACAGATCTGACTCATTTGAATGCAGACTGTTGGTTCCTTGCCTCTCAGGCAGATGCAGTCTAACTTCAAAGGAAGCTCCTAATTAGTTGGCTCTTGCGACATACTTTTGGGTTGGCAGTGGGTCTATTCTTGTTTTCTCACAGTGGAGCTACGGAACCCACAAAATAATGGGAAATTTAAAAAAAATCTTTCAGTTCTGTTTCTTTTTCTGTGTTATATATACTTTCTGTGTTCCTCCTGTCCTTTGTAATCTGTATATTCCATGAGTGTAACTCATTGAAGATGAAAGACATGGGTTGCATGTTTTTCCCTGAGTACTGCATCAAATAGATAGCACAGCAGGGCGTCTTATTTAATATTTGCTAGGTCACAAGGACAAATTGCTTGTATCTATCTTGATCACAAGGACACAAATTGCTTGTATCTATCTTGATTTTTGTGTGTAAACTGTACCTCATTCTGCCATAGTCTATTCACTATCAGAGTATGTTAACCTGTTAGCTGCAACATTAACTTTTCTGGAACATTCTGTTTTCATGCCTGTTTTGCTATATTTATGTTCTGAAGCATTTAATAGTCAACCCTGTGCCAGCTAAAATATGTGTCTTATGCCCACTGGAAATTTTTCCTGTCTTCATTCAGTAGTTCTTACTTATCTTTCAGTATTTGTTTGGTGACAGTTGTCTGCAGTTTTGGCTTTACAGACAGGATGTATATGATTCCTGAAGAACTTTACACGTTTGTATTTTGAGTTGCCAGTTATTTATGTTTTCATGCCATATTTTGATGGTCTGTATTAATCATTGTTGCCAGTATTATTCTTGTTTGTAAAGAAAGATAATGATTAATAGACCAACATTATTGCGCCAAATTTATTAAATCTCACATTAATTTTCAAACTGTTTTTTATTCATTGCCTATTTTTTTTAAGTTACAGCAGAAAAACTAGTTGTTGATTATGGTTCTTACAGTATCAGGATTTAAAAAAAAAAAATAATCAAGTAATAAACTGGTCTGAAAATGAATTCGGAAAGTCAGTTTAAAAAAAACAAAAACATTTGTTAGCACCAAACTAGACTTTGGTGTGAAAATTGTTTTGGAAAATATTACATTAGACTAAACTTTGGTCTGAAAGTGTCTGTAGACAGTCAATTTGGTAAACATTGAATTAGTTCTTATTGTAAAATATAATATACTAAGAATATTTCTATTGGTAAAATTATAATTTTTTTTTCAAACTAGATTTTAACATGAAGGTAAATGTTGCAACAACAACAAACAAATTGTATTGTTGCTAGTGTATATGAGCTATAGATTTCAGTATTATAGTGATGTGAGTAAAAACAAAGTTGAGGTGAAAACATTGTACATAAGAATGTTGTCAGTGAGGTAATGAGAAAGCTTTTAGAGTTGACTGCTGGCAAATTTGTATTCACTTGTCATGCATGTGCAGTATACTGTTAGACTTAAACTGTTGCTTTATAGAATGTTGACTTCAATGTCAGAAATTGTATACATAGTTTTTGAACTCTTATTTACAGTCTATCATTTATACACCATACTCTTACCTATAGTCATATCTTTATGATTCATGGACCATAATCATTCATGAACATATTGTTAACACCATCTACTAATATCTTTAGTTCACGAGCTAGTTATCTGTAGTTCTTGATCATGCTATATTTGTAGTTCATGATCATACTAATCTGTAATTCACAAGTTCTATATATATATCTTTTTCTACCTTGGGTTCTAGGTTTGCCAGAGAGATTGCCAGACCTCTCTACCAGCAGTAGTTAACACGCTTAATAATTATCTGTAGTTCTTAAATTCACAATATTTATATTATTAATCACTTATATGGTCATGTTATTATTTGAAGTTCACAAACTTGTATTACTTTTAGCTCCCAAAATTCTATATTTCCTGAACTCCTGGAGAGCTTTCCAACATGTAGTTCTTGAGGAAGTAGTATCTTTAGTTCCTAAACTCAACTGTTGTATGTAGTTTGTGAACTACTGTGTGAACTATTGTGAATTTTATAATCATATTATCACATGTTGTTGAGTTACATAAGGTGCCTAAAAACCGTGTGATTTTTCTGCTTTAGTCAGTTTGTTTGTTTGCATATTGACTCACAGCAATTGTTGACAGTTTTGTTTGTCTGAACATGTCAAAGTAATCTGAAGTAATGAAGTATATTCAATGCATTTATATCGATGAACCTCCCCAGTCATGTGTTTATAGCCTCTATTCTTCATTGCCATATCTGTGCAGCTCTTATTTAGTCATGTTTTTGTTTTTGCTTTATTTTTTTGTTTTGTTTGTTGCAAAAGGATCAAGATGTCACCTTTGTTGTTTCATCATTATAGTCCATATGCTTATGCATTGGTGATTTATCTGCATTTTTTTCCAAAACTGGGGACGTTGCATTGCTATCTCCCTTAGAAAGCACAATTGTTCGGATTCATCATCTTATAAAATGGTTTTCTTGGCTTTAGAACAGCTGTATGAGAGTCACACCATGGAAGATATTGAACACTGCGGCTATAGAGCCTTCATCAGCACATACATAAATCAAACAATACCACACAAAATCACTTAGCTTAGTATCTCGAAACAGCCAGGTCGATGTCTTGTCAGTAGACTGACTAGACACGTGGGACAGGAGAATAAATACCCCGGGGAATGCAATGGGCTGTAACTGGAGGGTTTTAAATAATACTGTGTGGGCATTTCAATATCCCCTAAGATTTTAGATGAAACTGTATTAACAGTTCAGTCCTCTAGGTGTTAACATGAAAATAAAGCGATTTTCGAGAGATTTGATTGTCAGCATGACTGCTGAATGCACATTCTGCCATATATATTATTTTCTTAGTTTTTTTTAAAAATATATATGTAAAATATAAATATATTACCTTCTAGCTCCACTGATGCAGTGCACTAGAGCCCAGGGGTAATGATTATGTTTGATCGAGCCAGTCATTGTAGCCCTTGATGATGATGATGTTCATGGTGATAATTAATGTATATAAATAGGTAAATGTTGTGTTCATAAAAATCGATCTAGTGATTACTATGGCTTTAGAATAATAACATCCAGACAGCAGTAACATCCAGACAATGGTAACATCAAACCAGCAGCAACATCCAGAGAACAATAACATCCGGACAGTGGTCATCCAGAGGATGGTAATATCCCTGTAACGGTAACATCCAGACACCAGTAACTTCTAGACAACAGTAATACCCAGATAACGACGACAAAATAAGATAACAGTGACACCTGGATAACAGTAACATCTAGTTTGCTGACATATTGGTAAATTTATTAAAAAGAGGCGCCGCTTTATTTGTTTCATTGTGGTTAAATGGCTGTTTTTGGAGGAGCCTCATTTTACAAATCGGACAAGAATTAATTTTTCATAAATGATCACTTCTAATCCGCACGTATGCATGTGTGTGGCTTAGAGGACAGCAGGTAAGTTAAACAACTAGTTCTGGTTCTGTTCCCATGGCCAAAGGTTTATTTTAGAAGAAAAAAAAAAGATTTCTGGTTTTCTGAATATGGCACGAGAGTTTTACCGTGGCAGAAATTGGGGCCTCAATACGTAATACTTCCAAAGACAGCAGTAGGGCACTAGCCAGCTTTTATTGCGGAGAGGGCACACTGTTTATTTAACTTGCACCCACATTCATATAACTGGTGCCTTTACGTGAATAGGAGCAATAAAACATGATCAAATCACTAATGTGTAGCGTAGCTTAGTGAAAAACTAACAAGACAGCATTTAAAGAGCTGAAGAAAACACACTGGTGTTGCATGAGACATACACAAGAGAAAATCTGATAATAGTAAACTGAAATGTTCTTTAGCAAAATAATGAAGGGGAACCAAAAACAATGGATAAGAGAATTAGAGACAGAAATAAATTATATGAGATGGCAAAAGATAAGATGATTAATCAAGGGTTGATCAAGAGCCTGTGGGGGATAAGAGACAGAAAGGAAAAAAGCAATGTTAAGATGAGTGCAAGAAGCACTTATTTATGACAAATTATTATACTTTTTCACAGAGCCGTTTGCTCTGTACTCTGAATGTTGTGGGTTTAATTCTGGACTCCATCCTTTGGTTTGTGAGGATGGGTGTTTAAAAGATCAATGGGATGTAATTTCTTTTGGCAATGCTCTGGCAGCAATCAACTGGAGAGAGAGAGATCAAGCCCCGGAACCCACACAGGGAACCCAGAGCGGTGAGATTGATGCTCTCTTCAATTTAAACATCCTTTAAATTAAAAAATAATGTTCTTCCCTCAGGGATTGCAGTCTATAGGATTAACACCTCAGGGATGAGAATTACACCCGTACAAATCTCAGAAATGCTTTTCACCCATAAAGCACACTTATACTGGTGAATCCCACAGTTTGTAGAGTAACCCACAGTCCAGTGTCGATGACTGATGGTATGGTGAAATCTTTGTTCCAGAAATTAACATCACTGTAAATTCTTCCCTTCAACTGATGCTTAAATGTATGATTTAGCTTATGTTTCAGCTGTTTTTGCCATAGAGTCATTGCTCTTATACCATATAATTTCATGAATGAAACATATATCCCATCAATATATTTACAAGTAAAACATTAGAGGGTCAATATACATCCGTATCCGGTTGAAAATAAAAGTCATACTTACGTGATTGGTGGCTTGGTTATCTTTCTTGTTATTTATGGAATTGGTGGCTTGGTTATCTTTCTTGTTGTTTATGGAATTGATGGCTTGGTTATATTTCACATCCATTTACAGATCTGGCTTATTTAATAATTGTATGCAGACTGTTCGTTCCTCGCCTTTCATGAAGATGCACAAATATCAATGTAGATTTAAAACACACACACATGCGCGCGTGTGCGCACACACACACGAGAGAGAGAGAAGAGCCAACACAACAAGCAGCTCCTAGTCATCAAAAGTAGTTCATTATCTGCTTATGTTTCCATGAATTAGCTCGCTATCCAACATGGATACAAAAGTACAAAAGCCACGCAGGAAGAGATAGAACAGGCCCTGATGAGAACAGTGTTTTAAAAAAAAGTGTTTGCTATATCATAATGGGTAGGCATGTGAGGCTTAGGTGTTGTGAACATGCTTTATAATTCCATGCTGCTGGGTTTGATTCCAGCTGCAGGCAATTTGTCAGTGGACTGCCTTGCGTCAGTTTTAACACTGGTAGTGAGAGCCGACCATTTAGTGGCTTTGGCAAACTACTGAACATACAATTGCCTGGTTGAGTTGACATCACAGCAATCGGGGCATTCCCATGCCTGCTCTATCCTCATTTTCAACAGCCAGTGGAGGGTTCCAGTACTAATGGTACCGGTTGTAATCTGGTTAAATGTCCGACTTGCCTTTCCTCTGAGTGTAGTTACACCCAGGTGCATCATTCTCTCCAGGCCATAATAATCTTGTTTCTCTTCTGACTTTGTTACATGTTCCCAAAGGGAAAGGGACGGCAGCTACCTTTTCATGTATCATTTCGCCACCCGTGCAGATCCAGCCAATCTGCCTGTTCATTTCCCTCCACGTTGGCATGGCCTGGAGAAAAGATCTAAAGTATGCTCACTAACCTTGACCTTCCCAATGAAGCTTTCCACTCTGCTCAAAGCATCCCTGTCTTCATCTTTCTCAGCATGCTCTCAGGGTCTGTTACAATTACGACATGTGTATGCATCTTGTTCTCTAGCCACAGGAAAGCTGCAGTTACTGCCTCCACCTCCATTCTCATGCTAGATGTTGTGGTATCGTATGCTAGGCTGTCCTGCACTACAGATTTTCCATTGACTTTCGCTACCAACCCCCCAGGCACTTCTCTTCCCTCTTAACACAGAACCATCTGTATAGATAATCAGATCATCTGGGTGAGAACTGTTGTGAATCAACTGTTGGACTTTCACCTCCGTAGCACCAGCTTTCCCTCTGGTACTCTGACCCTTTCCTCGCCCAATGTTCTCCAGCATGCATACTTGTCTTATTGTGTCTTATGCTTGAGCCATCCACGATTTTCCCCTTTTCACTCTCCGACCCTTAACTGCAGCCATAGCTTCATACAGAGGGTGCTCTTTGTCTGCAGCTACTCCAAGGTATGCCTTAGCCTGCAACACCTTTAGCCTATCTGCAATAGTCGGCAATGCAAGGATGTATCGCTTGCATACAAGCCGGGTATCTCTTGTACATTTCAGGATAACGCATAGCTTCATTCTATAAGCTCTCCAGTTTCTCTAGCTGACTCTTTGAGACAGTGAGTAACCCCGATCCATAATCAATTACTGAGATGATTAAGTGCTAGTCAAGTGTGAACAGCTGCCATAATCTTCAGTGCATTAAGACCTTTTTACAATTGTCCAGTGAAGTCACAAACTGCAAAAAATGTTAGTATTGGTTAGGCAACATCCTATGGAAGATGTTGCTGGCACCATTTGCGTCTTTCCAGGCAACAGTGTTATTGTGTGCTATGAGAAGGCATGGGACTCACAACCAATGTGCTCGTCTTAAGAAGAGTGTTCGGAGATTAAGCATTGAGAAAATTATTGCCGTACTTTTTTCCCAGTACCTCAGTGTTAGTAATCTTGTCTTGCCACTTGATGCCAGGTATTCTAAACATCAGGGAAGATTGGCTAATAAACAGCACCTTGTCTCGGAAGCTGAAACGTTTGGGTCATATCTAGAGCAATGGTTGACTGGAAAAAGTAATAGGAGAAGGCATGGTACCAGGAAGGAGGGGCAGGGGCCAACCAACACGAAAATGGACACAGAGTTCAAATGACTTCTTGAATATGAAAGTACACGAGGTAGGAGAGCTGGCGAGAGACCAACTTTCTGTCAGCCAGACCAATGAGAGCTACGTTCTGCAAAGGACCTGCTATATGACGATGACATTCTTGGAGGTCGGAAGAATAGATCGGGAAATAGAAACAAGATACCAACGAGCCAGTGAACTTTTATACCAATTGACACCGTTTTAAGACACCCAAACACAAGTATGAGCGCATTAAAAAACAATTATAAACTGCATATTTATACTATACCAACACTGTGCTGTCAGTGCCAGACTTTTCACACTGTTAAAGGCTAACGTTCGTAAGTTAATCCCCGTGAAATGAGGTGCCCGACAAAAGCCGTCAACTGAACCATCCGAGGCAAAGTTAGAATTGAGATTATCAAACAGACTGTGGGAACAGCACTATGCAGTAAATTAAATTAAGTGAGAAGCATAAGATCAAATGAATTGGTCATCTAATAATTATCCAGCCAGAACAACTAACTGCCAACGCAGGCGCTACACGTGAAAAGATCTGATGTGAAATCAAGAGGTCTTTCCTATAGAAAATGGACTGATAGCATTAAGAAGCTTTTACATCGACACGAAATGAGATTATTAATAACTATTGCTGCCCATAAAGTAGTGGGCCAGAAACTGCTCCTGCCCATGTCGCATAACGGCAGAAGTGGAAATTGACGATGATTGATTTATACATTGGAATTTGAACTCTGCGTCTGCTGCTGAAGATAGGGACAGAGCACCTATGGCAATGTCCTGAGCGCTGTGATGTCGGTCCATGACTCATAACAGATAGGGGTCTGAGTGATCTCGAAGTATGACATCCCCCTCGAATGCTGGAGGAGCCGGGTTCAAGCCCCGGTGAAGGCTGGGATTTTTTTCACGTGGACTTCTAGTAATTTCCTCTGGTCTTTGGATAGTCAGATCGGACGCCTGTGTGTATTGTTTGCGCACGTTAAAAAAAACCTACGCAGTTGGAGATCGAACAGAGTTGCCTAACGGCGCTGCCCTGAAAAAATTTCCAGTTAAAAATCTACCTAAAGTATTTTAGAATCCTCGCCGGTGCTACAGAGTTTGTACACTGCTCTGAGATTTTCCGGACTCAGACTTGAGTTAGAAGTAGAACGGAGCACTTATAGATTACTACCCTTGTACTGTGATATTGATCCGTTGAATAAACTATAAAGATAAGACTGAAAAGAAAAGAAAGGAGATAAAATTGAAGAAAAGACCGGATGAGAACTTTGACGAAACCTTGGTCAAGTGAAAAGTTTGACTTCCGGGAACAGCTGACGATGTTGACGGAAGTAGTTAACTTTCCACTTGTTTGTCATCTGATCCCCTAGATCTTGGATTTTCTTGTTTATTTGCGATTGATTGTGTTCTCGTGATGCCCTGTGCTTCTGTCTAAAAGCAAAATGTGGGTGAAGCCGCAGGAGGTTCTTTTGGCTAATGCATTATGGTACGTTATGGCAGTCTTGCAGGGTCAGTTTATCATCAGAATGGCAATGGCATTTTTTGGGTATCTGTACTGTTGTCACAGTTGTGACGGGACGTAACCTTCTTCTTCTTCCTCTTCCTCCTCCTCTTCTTCTTCTTCTTCTTCTTCTTCTTCTTCTTCTTCTTCTTCTTCTTCTTCTTCTTCTTCTTCTTCTTCTTCTTCTTCTTCTTCTTCTGACTTGACAATGGCAGGTCGGTAAGATATATGTGTGCCTCAGCCCTCACAATCCGTCCTTTGCAAGGGTGTTTGCAGTTTGCTTGCTAATTTTTTAAGTGTAAATTCTATAAACCTGTAGGCTCTCCTCCGAACTTCAACCCGATATTATGGCAGCCATAAAATATCCTTATGGGGCTCAGTTCTATTAAAAATATGCCGGCTCCGTATAACGAAACAAAGGCTCTAACAGGGTCTCAGCAATATGTTACTTGCGGACCTGTTTCTGTGACTATGCCTCACCGCCGACCGTATCCCCCACGCCGCTACGCGTGGGGCGAATGGGGGCTAAACTAGATGGCTGGGACTCACGAGCAGCAGCTACCGCATCTCCTGCAACTTCCTCCAATTATTTTGCCCGTGAGTCCCAGGCACCTAGTTTAGCTCCCCATCCGCGGGGGATTCGCTCGGCGGTAAGTTTAATCGCGTTTTGCGCATGCTATTATCGTCTGCTACTATTATCTGCAGAAACGCTCAAAATTGTCAACGGTCGCTAATATCGTCTGCTACTATAGTCTGCAATGTTGCGTCTCTTGAAAATGTCAAGTAATCCTAGTTTTGCCGTGATTTGTTCCTTGGCAGAAAGTCCGCATTTTACATATGCCTGAGCCCCGTAAGGATATTCTATGACCGCCATAATATCGGACTGAAGTTTGGAGGAGAGCCAACCTGTATTCATATTACCCCCCCCCCCTTTTTTTAGAATGCACTGTTTTGTAGTAAGGAGCCGCCATCGTGTAGCAGCTAGATGCTTGCCTTTGGATCCAAAGGTCATGGATTTATGTCCTAACGGAACCAGACTTTAAAAAAAAAACTTACCTTCCATGTTGACCCAGCCTTAAATGTGGGATTTGCTCTTTAAAATATTGGGCTATCTTCCGAATATTGGTGCCAAATTATCGAGGCAGAAAATATACCCTTACAGGGCCTCAATCACGTGTCAACTGCGCATTCGGAAGATAGCCAAATATTACTTCAACCCTTTCACTGCTATGGAGTATTTTCCCGTACACTGTTACGCCCGTCTTTTAACGCTAATTTTTTTGGGCCACCCAGTGCAATGGACATAAAAAACTTTTTTTTTTTGGCTTTCTCTACAGATTTCTATGGACTGTTTTCTCGGGGGTCAACGAGCAATACACATTAGGGGTATCTTCCAAATAACAGTCCTAAATTATCGAGGCCGAAAATATACCCTAACAAGGCCTCATCAGTCACGTGTCAGCTGCGGACTTCCGGTGACTTAGCGCACTTCCGGCGACCACCGCCGAGAGTATCTCCCACGCCGCTACGTACGGCGTGGATTGGGGCTAAACTAGATGTCTGGGATTCACTAGCAGCAGCTACTGCATCTCCTGCAGCTTCCTTCATTTTGTTTGCTAGTGAGTCCCAGCTATCTAGTTAAGCCCCAATCCACACCGCGCATAGCGACGTAGGAGATACTCTCGGCGGTGGCAGAAGTCTGCAATTGACACGTGACTGAGGCCCTTTTAGAGTATATTTTTGGCATCGATAATTTTGGACCGTTATTCGGAAGATAGCCCACATTAGCTATATTTTTATCTAATTGACCCATTACATACTATTAAAAAACACTGTCACATGCATAGGTGTGCTTTATGTGTTTTTACCGCATTCGGCCTTATCCTATCGCTCGGGGCCGCATTAGCGCAGTCGATAAGAAGCTCGCTTTCAAATCCAGCTGCAACTCGCTGCAGCTCACGGTCGGTGTTCGAAACCGGGCGGCTCCCGGGTTTCACCTAGCCTCTAGGAAATGGGTACCAGAGTGATACTCTGGGGTAAATGGAGGAACGTCGCTATAGCTACAGATTTAGGTGCTAACAGTGATACAGACGGACAATTCTTATCAGCTGTCCGTACTGGTGGCAGAGCACTTATGGTTTATAACCGTGTGCAATGACGCTGGTTCACATCTCCCAACTTTACTTTTTTACCTTTATCCTATCACTTTTACCATGGCGGCCTGGTCGGTGATCTGTGTATTTTTTGCCCTGTTAAATATTTGTAGTTTTGTATTATTCTACATTTCAGTAATACAAAATATGTCTTGGCCCAACAATTAAACTGATTCCTATCACTCGCGATTTCCCCAGAGATTCCAAACACTGTCCTCGAGCCTAGGGCTCAGCTTGATCTTTGCATGAGAAAATGGACCCAAAAAATCTTTGTCTAGTCAGGTCATAGCTTGTGTTACCACCATCACCTCCATAGCCAGACTACTTGTAAGAAGGGTTGTGGTGGTGGAGGGGGGGGGGGTCATGGTGTGGGCTGTACTGGGTGTTATCACTGAGGGGGTGATAAAATTGCAAAAGTGTGTTTTCAAAATACAAAATTGTGTGTGTGGGGAAGGGGGGGGGGGGAGTGACAGGAATCTTTCTGCTCCGGGTAGCATCTGACTTTGCAGTACAACTGCTTGTAGTCAAGGCAAAAGCACTGGTACATTTCTTTACAATCTTGAACTGTTTTTAATTTGAAGCATTGGTAATTAACTGTGGATAAAAATCATAGACAGAAAAATAGTCTTGCCTCGTACTGAGATCACTATCTTGTCATGGTTAGGCCATATTAGGAAAGGAGAAAGCAGACTTTTTCTCTTCTGTTACTTTCTTTGTCCAGTATTGTTTGTCTTTTTCTCGAATCCTTGTGTGCTTTTCAGCGTCATGTTTGAAATAGGCATCAGGTGCAAACCTTTGTATGTGCTTCACAGATGCTGGTATTTATGGCCTGGGATATTCCATCTATCCATTGCTTGTGGGGTCGACCTCTAGTTCTGTTTCTCTTGTGTCTGAGTGACAGGACTCTGTATAGTTCACTATCTGGCGGTAGTCTTGACACATGTCTGAACCATTTGATCTGTTGTCTCTTGATGTAGTTTAGTACTGGTACTGTTCCTTCTTTCCTGACATTGCCTTTTCTCTTACTGTCTTCTCTAGTTACATTTACCTTTCATAATAGACAAGTTATCTAATATCTCCCAACCCCTCACCACCACATAAAATATTAGTTTTTCTGTTGATGCTATCCCGACCGTTATAGCTCAGCTTTGTTTAATGTGGTTTAATCAGGGCAACAGAGCGAGCCAACCCTTTCTTTGTGATGCAGAGAAGAAAGGGCTACGGTGGTGGTGGTCTGACTGGCTTGCTGGTAGGGACCCTGGACACTGTCCTTGACAATAAGGTAGGTGAAAGTTGTTCTGTTGCGCAGTTACACCTTGAGTGATTAGGAGTTGAGAATTGACAGTACAGCACTCAGGACATTCCCAGAAGTGCTCCATCCTGATTTTTAGCAGCAAGCGCAGAGTTAAGTTCCAAGGGTACAAGTAACAGTCTGATTGTATGTCCATCTCGCCCTGTTGTTGGCCAGATTTTCTGATCACTCATTGCTGCAGTATTCTCTTTAGACCATGATGATGTTTGTGCCTCAGCAATTTTTTTCTTGCTCCTAAAGGTCCCTTTCAGCATCTAGTTTGTCATGCATAAGTTTATCCCCAAGTTGTGCACAAACAGTCAATCTAAATGCCTGTTAATTTCCCAACACACCGGCATTCACTGGAGAAAATATCTAAATCACACCATTTAAAATCACACTTAGGCAACATTTTCCACCACTGGATGCCTCAGGGAAGTTGATATGTTTGTTAGAAACTGTCGTCAATACCTTTTTTACCTGTTTACAACCGACATGTACATCATTGGCCTTAACGCTCTTAGCAATTTGGATGGGCTGTATGCAGATATAACCACTCATGGTTCTTTTGCACTTAAATATATCGTAGGGTCAGTGAAGTAAAGCTAAACACATCATCCAAACAGCAACATTCGTCTATGGCCTGGCAAAATTGCAGTACTGCCTGGTCAGCAGACAACAAGTAACTCACCATTTTGTTTAACTAGTGAGAGGTCACATGCACGGCATTTGAGGTTGCATATGTGTTTACCCTTTTTGCTAGCTTAAAAAAATTAATTTACTCTGCTGTTGCTCACACACACATCAATATCTAATGAGTTTCTTATGTATCTGGCACACACATCAGTATCTAATGAGTTTCTTATGTATCTGGCACACACATCAATATCTAATGAGTTTCTTATGTATCTGGCACACACATCAATATCTAATGAGTTTCTTATGTATCTGGCACACACATCAATATCTAATGAGTTTCTTATGTATCTGGCACACACATCAATATCTAATGAGTTTCTTATGTATCTGGTTTTTTCCCAGACACGACCTTACAGAATTTTACATCAGACAGAAGGCTCTGAGCTCAGTTACTGTAAGTCCTGCTGTTTTTTGGGTTCTTTTGTTTTTAATTCACCCCAAACAGACAGTCTTATATTTCAGGGGGTGATAAGTTGCACACAGTCATGTGACCTAGGCTGCATGCAGTGGTGGGACATAGGCTGCTGTTCTGGGGTAGTTAAAAGCATCAGAAAGCCGGGAAACTCGGTCTTACCACCATATAAAATATTGGACTGTCCCTGTGACATCATCTGGGGTGAATTGTTGCAAAAGAATTGTTTTGTCACAAATTGTTGATAGAGTATATTTTAAGTCTTGATTGATTCCTTTACAGAATTGTACTTTCGTCTCAGTTTTTATCTTATCCAGGTCTGTACTAGTTTTTCATAAAACCGCTGCACAGTTCGTGTTTCAGATTACCCCATGCCCAGGACAGAGTTAATTTGCCAGTTAATATTTTCTTTTATGCTCACTTTTAAAAGAGCAGTTAGCACTTTGTGGTCCCACTTATAGCTACTGCAATGTCTAACCTTTCGATGCAACACATTCAGTTTCAACAGATCCTTAATTAGTCATCTTTTACATGTTTGTTTGTTACCTTTGGTAAAACAGTTACAGTTATGTGTGGTCCATGTTTTTGTTTTTTCAGTTGAAAGGATTCATTTATGTGCTTTCTGCATGCAGTAGTGAGGTCCCAGGTCTGGCCGGTTGACATTCCTGTATTCCAGTGGAGGACGTGGCACCACAACCTTCATAGAGGCCTGTGGCCTTCTCATATGAAAACAAACGGCAGTGAGAACAACATAAAAAACAAAAAAAGATTTATTTCGGCTGATTTTACTTTATTACGCAGCGGAAATATACCAGGCAGTAAACTGTGCAGTCTGTTCTTTGTGTTTTCTTTGTTCAAATTTACAGTATGGAGACATTGCTGTGAGTACCATACTGTTAAAATTTGAGTAACTATTTCCCTGTTTGGGTTCCTGGGCCGAGTTTCGGATAAAAGTTTGGGGGGGGGGGGGGGGGGGGGGGGGGGGGGGGGGACAGAATAGACCTACTGCCTCCTATGTAGAATGTAAAAGGTGGCTGAATAGAAGTTTGCTGAAATATTACGTGTTGGGCTGAAAGAGACAGATATTGCAGCCTATCTGTAAACCACAGTGCAACGTGCCAACTGCGCTTTTGTTAGCGAATGCAGAATAAGAAACAGAAGAAATATGCAAGGCGATAAAGTGTTGATTTTGTTATTTGTATCTTCTTTGTTCAAATGCACAGTGGTGAAATACAATGCTTTCATGATTTTACCAGTACATTTTGAATAAACATCATTATTTAGCTTTCTTCTTATCGCAGCTGTGGCAGAAGCAAACAACAAGCGGGAAATACAGCAGCACTGGGAGTGGTTGGAGAGCAACATCGTCAACACTTTAGGTGAGAGATGTCTGTGGGAACAAAGGGTCAGCAAATTGGGCAAACAGGCCTGCCGTACATCGGGCTCTTCCAAACAGCATTCTTCCCCTTTCTGGTGCCCCATTGTGATAAGGAAAAAAAAACACTGCCACCCCAACACGCATGTCTAAGGAGTCGGAGTACATCTGCCTGAGAAATAAGGGAGCAACCAAAAGTCTGCATACAGATAAGCCAGATCTGTAAAATGGATGTGCATGTAACACTGAGGTTCTTGAAAAAAGACTAATGTCCAGAAGTGGACGAACACCCAGAACTTTCTGCCGGAGTTGACAGCCAGTGAAGATGCCGGAGTTGACAGCCAGTGAAGATGCCGGAGTTGACAGCCAGTGAAGATGCCGGAGTTGACAGCCAGTGAAGATGCCGGAGTTTACAGCCAGTGAAGACCAGTGAAAGCAAAGAAGAAGAAAATGCTCACAAATTGTTCAAGCAGGCCTGTCTTACATTTGGTCTTTCTGGACACTTTCTTTCACACATTCCTATCTTACTGGCCTTTCTGGACACTTTCTGACACATAAGCCTATCTTACTGGCCTTTCTGGACACTTTCTTTCACATAAGCCTATCTTACTGGCCTTTCTGGACACTTTCTTTCACACATTCCTATCTTACTAGCCTTTCTGGACACTTTCTTTCACATAAGCCTATCTTACTGGCCTTTCTGGACACTTTCTTTCACATAAGCCTATCTTACTGGCCTTTCTGGACACTTTCTTTCACACATTCCTATCTTACTGGCCTTTCTGGACACTTTCTTTCACATAAGCCTATCTTACTGGCCTTTCTGGACACTTTCTTTCAACAAAAACCTGTTGAAGCAACATAGATATACAGAAGAATCTGGAAATATTGGGACAGTCAAATGAGTAATTCACATGTTTGGAAAGATTTTTCTTTTGTCATCTCACTGATACCAGGTTGTAGCCCACTGTCATGGTATTCTCTGCTTGTCTTGCGTTTCTCGTGTGGCTTGGGAGAGGAGTTTGTTCATCTTTATGCAGGTTTCTGCTACACCATTTTATCCACAACTTTCTTGGTCTTCTTCTTGCCTTCCTCCCAGATGTTCTGCTGTAAAAAGTCTCATATAAGTTTAGTCTGGCTGCATTTTGAAAAATATTCAACAAAACAAAAAGCAGCTTATTGCTAATATCTGAAAAAGATGGTTGCCTTTTTGAGGTCATATTATGAAACGAGTAAATTAAAGTAAATGTATCAGGTCAGTAGTGCCTTTGATACCAGACCCATATGTTTATGTATGAATCGTCACTCGGTGGATGACGTAGGCAGCGTCACACCTGCCACCTTTACTTTTCAGGACTTTTCTAACCAGGAAGGCTAGCTGTATTACAAATGTTCGAAGAAGTCGGAAATATTTCAGCTAATATATAAACAAACATAACACATTTACACAGAGACGAACGATGAACAAGAAGAAGATATCTTGGGAAGTCGTAGTTTAAAATGGCCACTGTTTGAGTCCAAATGTTCAGATAATAACTTAGGGCAGAAAAAGTAAAATTAACAATTGTGATTAATGAGTTAACATAGCCGCTTCTTCTTCTTTTCTCTACTCCTGGAAGGCCTTGTGGCATCAGGACAGGAAGAGATCTCTGCAACGGGCCCTTCTGTTCGCTTCATATAAAGTACTTTTCAGTGTCTCTGATATTTCTGCGGTCCATATTCTGCGGGGTTGACCTCTGGGTCTCTTACCGTTGTATGTTTGGTTTTGCTCTCTGTGGTGCCCTATCTGATGCCAGTCTTGTTACATGGCCAAACTATTTGATTTGTTGTCTACCTATAAAGTTCAGTATTGGTTCTGTGCCGACTCTCTTCCCGATATCATCGTTCCTATGTCGACCTTTCCTCGTTACATCTAGCATAGTACATAAACATTTAATTTCTGCCATGACTATTTTCCTTGTGTCTTCTGAAGACAGTGTCCTTGTTTGAAATTGATAGCATAGCGTTGGTAAGAATATTATGTTGAACATAGCAGCTATCTGTGATAAAAGAGTTAGAAATGTGTGCTGTCTTTGGATAAAAGAGTTAGATAGGTGTGCTGTCTTTGGACTGATAAATGAATATATTATACATGTACTAAAATAGTTAAATTCTTTTGTTTCCACTTACAGTGGCTTTTGAAAATGTTGACGATGTCACAGAGTTCATCAAATGCAAAATTGAAAGTCTAGTTGCCAATGTGGATACTGCTAAAGAAGGTTTGTCTCGTTTTATGTTTAAAATATTTGTGAACTAACCATGTTGAAAGATTTTGGGATCAATGTTAGGTTAAATGTAGTGATGTAAAAGACAAGTAATGATGTAGGCAGTGATTGTTTGTTTCATACCAGATGAATTCCAGTTATTCATTCTTGTGTATCTTCAACTGGTGCCTGGCAATGTCATGGCTACTTGAATGTAAATTAGTTAGGTTTTCATCATTGCACTCCAGACATAACAATAGGTGCTCAGATTCTCCCCTTAGTATGAACCCTAATATCCGGTGGCTAATAGTACCAGTTTTATGTCGATTAACAAGTCCTCTGATATGTGTCTCATTTTTTGCTATGTTGATCTTAACTGCCTTGATTGATTGTAAATTCGCCAGTGAAGCAGAATAAAGTAAAGACCTTTTAATGTCACTGGTGCATCGGGCATGTGCTAAAGTAAAGGACCCCTTTCCATACCTTCGAATTGGGCATTTATTTCTCGACCTGTATTTGATAGATCATTGTTCATTTAAAGATCATCTTCAGGACACATCGGGCAGGACCATAATTGCTCCGATCTCCTCCTGAGTATGTCTCCAAGTGTTTTTAGGCTAACGATTCACATCCTGTTCTGATTGATGTCCTTCATTTGGGGTCATCCGCCATTACCAATCACAATTTAACACTTGACGCACACAGGAGAGTCTTGGTGCAGTGCACGTAGCTCCGTAGCATTGGTGAGGATTCTGCAGATAGTAAAAACAACAGAAAATCACTCCATGTTGGCTTAAAAAAACCCAACAGAATCAATTTGTTGTGGTAAAAAACAGTGGCCACGCCACCATCTTGGATGACGTGGTCGGGAAGGGGAGTGGTGGGGGGCTGAATTTACTTCCCAGGTCAGGTATATTGTGCTGAAGCCATACTTTTAAGACCAACTGGCACTAGATGGATGATATAGTCTGTGTGGTCTCGAAGCATGGCGCACACCTTGATTGCTGGAGGTCCCGGGTTCAGGTCGCTGGGAATGCTTTGATTTATCTGTGTGGACTTTTAGTATTTTCCCTTGGTCTCTGAGTAGATCGGACACCCATGTGAATTATTGCGCATGTGAGAAATCCCTCAAAATGAGTAGCCTAAGACGCTGCCCAGGCAAAATTTTGAGTTTAAAAACTACCCAAAGTATTTCAGGATCCTCGCCTGTGCTACAGAGTTCATATTCTGCGCTGAGATTCTTCGGATTCAGGTTTGAGTTAGAAGTAGAGAGGAGCACTTATGGGTAACCATTTATGCCATGATGTTGATCCATTGTTCAAACCTTAAACACCAGTCACCACAACTTTTGGTAAAATGTACAAGTTGTTCCTTCTCACAGATGATGAGGTTGAAGACCTGAGGACATCGACCAAAAAGTTTCGCAAGTATTTCAACATGCCAAAAGAGGAGAAGCTTGTCAATCGTAAGTGACCATGTCTTGAGTCTTGTGTCTTCATTGTCTTTTTCTTCTTGTTCACAACTGATTGTGTCTTGTGTCTTCATTGTCTTTATCTTCTTGTTCACAACTGAGCATGTGTTGAGTCTTGTGTCTTTATTGTCTTTTTCTTCTTGTTCACAACTGATTGTGTCTTGTGTCTTTATTGTCTTTTTCTTCTTGTTCACAACTGAGCATGTGTTGTGTCTTGTGTCTTCATTGTCTTTTTGTTCCTGTTCACAACTGAGCATGTGTTGAGTCTTGTGTCTTCATTGTCTTTTTGTTCCTGTTCACAACTGAGCATGTGTTGAGTCTTGTGTCTTCATTGTCTTTTTGTTCCTGTTCACAACTGAGCATGTGTTGAGTCTTGTGTCTTCATTGTCTTTTTCTTCTTGTTCACAACTGAGCATGTGTTGTGTCTTGTGTCTTTATTGTCTTTTTCTTCTTGTTCACAACTGATTGTGTCTTGTGTCTTCATTGTCTTTATCTTCTTGTTCACAACTGAGCATGTGTTGAGTCTTGTGTCTTTATTGTCTTTTTCTTCTTGTTCACAACTAAGCATGTGTTGTGTCTTGTGTCTTCATTGTCTTTTTGTTCCTGTTCACAACTGAGCATGTGTTGAGTCTTGTGTCTTCATTGTCTTTTTGTTCCTGTTCACAACTGAGCATGTGTTGAGTCTTGTGTCTTCATTGTCTTTTTCTTCTTGTTCACAACCAACCATGTGTTGTGTCTTGTGTCTTCATTGTCTTTATCTTCTTGTTCACAACTGAGCATGTCTTGAGTCTTGTGTCTCCGGTGAAAAGTTTAAATCGTTCATTCACTTCTGGACTTTGGTCATGTTCCAGAAATTTTAGTTTTGAGTGCACATCTGTTTTAAAGACTTTACAGATGTGGCTTATGTGTATACAGAGTATAAGTTTCTTAACATTTATGCAGAGGGACTTCGACTTTGAAGGAAACACCCATGATTAGTTGCCTTTGATGACATGCTTGTTTGGGGGGGGGGGGGGGGGGATGGGTTAGTGTGTCTATCCCTCCCCCCCCCCCCCCCCAATGGACCCTACAAAACCCAAACAGAAATAGTGAGATCTGATATCTGTCATTCTTAAATAAATTCTTCTTCTTCTCGTCCGCCTTGTACCTGATCGAAGTGTCGGGGGTCTTAGATATATGTTTAAAAAATATTTTAAAAAAAAAACGAAAGACAAAACAAAGTAACCTCTATTAAAAAGCTGTATATGATTGAAACCCCAGCATAAATTGAGTATGGTTTGCTGTAATGCTACTGTCTTGGTAAAGTATTTAGGGCACATCGATCTACCCACAGAAATAATGCATGGTATTTGTCCAAAGGAAATTAAACTTGAAGAAAATATTTGCAGACGCGTTCCATATTCTCATATTAAAAAAGTCTGCAGAGAGATCCTGAGCCTTTTGGATATTTTCTCCAGGACGTGCAGCAGCTGTGTTGGGACCTGGGCAGGTTGGCTGGTTCTGTACATGGTGCTAAGTTGATGTATGATAAGCTAGATGTTGCTAAAGCACAAATAGATCAACACAGTCTCAAGAGGATGATGCAGTGGGAAGTCAGCAGGGAACCAGGCCAACACTCGACACTCAGGGTTAAGGCAAGACAGGCATATACACTCAGGGTAAAGACGAGACAGGCATACACTCAGGTTAAAGGCAAGACAGGATTATACACTGAGGGTAAAGGTGAGACAGGCATACACTCAGGATAAAGGTGAGACAGGCATACACTCAGGGTGAAGGCGAGACAGGCATACACTCAGGGTGATGGTGAGAGAGGCATATATACTCAGGGTGAAGGCGAGACAGGTATATACTCAGGGTAAAGGCGAGACAGGATTACACTCAGGGTAAATGGGAGACAGACATATACACTCAGGATAAAGGCGAGACAGGCATACACTCAGGGTGAAGGTGAGACAGGCATACACTCAGGGTGAAGGCGAGACAGGCATACACTCAGGGTGAAGGCGAGACAGGCATACACTCAGGGTGAAGGCGAGACAGGCATACCTCAGGTTAAAGGCAAGACAGGATTACACTCAGGGTAAAGGCGAGACAGGATTACACTCAGGGTGAAGGCGAGACAGGCATACACTCAGGGTGAAGGTGAGACAGGCATATATACTCAGGGTAAAGGCGAGACAGGATTACACTCAGGGTAAAGGTGTGACAGGCATATACACTCAGGGTAAAGGTGTGACAGGCATATACACTCAGGGTAAAGGTGAGACAGGATTACACTCAGGGTAAAGGTGTGACAGGCATATACACTCAGGGTAAAGGTGTGACAGGCATATACACTCAGGGTAAAGGTGTGACAGGCATATACACTCAGGGTAAAGGTGAGACAGGATTACACTCAGGGTAAAGGTGAGACAGGATTACACTTGGGGTAAAGGTGAGATAGGCATATACACTTAGGGTAAAGGTGAGACAGGATTACACTCAGGGTAAAGGCGAGAGACACACACACACTATGGGTAAACGCGAGAGACACACACACTCAGGGTAAAGGCGAGAGACACACACACTATGGGTAAAGGTGAGAGACACACACACACTGGGTAAAGGTGAGAGACACACACACTCTGGGTAAACACGAGAGACACACACACTCTGGGTAAAGGTGAGAGACACACACACTCTGGGTAAAGGCAAGACAGGTATACACTCAGATTGCTACAGGTACATTGGCTGCTGAAGATGTGGATGGACAACTTATGAAAATGTCCTGAGTTTTGTCATGTTGGTTCACAGCTCAGTTCAGAAGCATGTAACAGGGTGTTGAATTTCCTTTAAAAGAGGAACAAAGTAAAAGGAATGTTAAATTAAGAATCAACATCACAGCACTTGGAAAACTCCCATAAACGCTTTGCCTCCATCTTCAGTAGCAAGTGAAGAGTTCCACTACCAATGGCACCAGTAACTGTCTGATTCAAGTCAAATGAGAGCAGACTGAACCTGAATCATTGTTTCTCAATCGACCACTTTCAGATTACTCGTGCAGCTACTGGAAAGGCAACATACCCCGGCAAGGGTGGATGTACCTGAGTGTCAACCACCTCTGTTTTTATTCATTCCTCATGGGAAAAGAAGCTAAACTCATCCTGCGATGGGCAGATATCACTGTAAGTGTTTTTTTTTTTAACTGTTGGTTCTTCTTCTTGTGATTGCATCCCTCATTTCCACAGACAGAAGAGTTCTTGTGGTAAACCTGACTTTTTGTTTTTGAGTTCCTTGTTAGTTCCAGACCTCTTCTTTAAATACAGCTCACTGGGACCTTCTTCTTCTTCTTCTCTTCCGCCTTGTACCTCATCGAAGTGTCAGGGGGAGATGTAACATTCGTTGATGAGCTCTGTCAAGAGCACTATTAAGATTGATGTTCATTTCTGTAAGGCTGTTCTTAATGCCATCACTTCATATTTTCTGAGATCTTCCACTTGCTCTATACCTGTTGTAACGTTTTAGTGTGGCTCGCTGTGGCAGATAGTACCAGTGCATTCTTGTTCGGTGCCAAACCACTTCATTTGTTGTTCTTTAATGACTTGTAAGGCTGACTTTATTCCTAGCATTCGTCTGATTTTGTATCCTGTCTTTTCTTGAAACTCCTGCAGCTCTTCTAAGGCATTTCATCTCTGTTCATTTTACATTCATTGGAGGATGTAAGTGTCCACGTTTGACACTGATAGCATAGTGTTGGCTATACACTGGGACTGACCAGTCTGATCTCTTCTTCAATGTTTGCTGTGTACTAGACACAACACTATGGCTTAATGTCTTTTATTATTGTTTTATTCCTTCAATGTTGGGTTAATATGAATTTCTATAACTTATGGTGCTATTTCTTTGCTTTGAGACAAATTCTGTCCATATTCCATAGCGATAGGTTCAAGCGGTATGACATCATTGGCTAATGAAGATACCTTTTTTTTTATGTCGCCTAGTCACTCATGTGTCATAGTACAGTTGATCCTGCAGTAAGGCGCAGTTGTCATTTAGAAGTAACAGGCTTGATTCCCAGCATGTAACTATAGCTGATTATTTTCATGTTGTCTAATGTGTCCTTCTTTCTTTTTATGAGTGCAGATCACTACATTTCTGCTTCTTTATTAAGCAATCAACTTTTCAGTATGGCTTTGGGCCAGTATTCCATTATTAATATAAGTAAACGTGAGTGCCAATCAGTAAAGTTTTTATGAATGTCAATCAGTACATTGTCTCTTCCCTTCTTAATGGGCTTTATCAGGAACATTCTTGCAGAACATGTTCTGCTGTGTTCTGCGCAAACTCAGCAAACACTCATGTAAATTAGATATGAGCCAAACACTCTCTGTTAGTGTCTTCATGCTGAACAGACTCCAGAACATGTCTTGCAAGACTCCTTTCCTGAAAGAGCTGTCAAGCAACACGTGACCACACCAGGCAGACCTGACAACTAAGCTTTGAAGAACCTAAGAAGCCTTGAGAGGGCATACCAGTTTATAGCCCAGGATGGATCAAGCACATGACCAGAGATTTCTGAAGAAGAAGAAGTGCGGCTGCCCAGATGGGCATAGTGGTGAACTACTCAGACAGATCATGAGCATTTGCTCTCCTGGTTTAATAATTGCAAAGTTACATTTCTCACAAAATTCACTTTGTTGGTGTCATTTTTTCATCTCTGCAGTCAGCTGTATTTCATATTTTCTCTAGCTTGAGCTGAGTGGTCTCGAGGCATGGCGTCGGCCTTGAGTGCTGGAGGTCCCGGTGAAAGTTGGGATTTCTTCACGGGGGCTTCTAGTAATTTCTTCTGGTCTCTGGGTAGTAAGATCAAATGCCCATGTGTATTGCTGCGCATGTAAAAAAATCCTTTGGCAGTTGGAAATCAAAAAGAGTGGTATAAGGGCACTGCCCGGGCAAAATTTGTAGTTATAAATGCACTGTGCTGAGATTTTTGGGGCTCTGACTTGAGTTAGAAGTAGAACGGAGCACTTATGGTTTACTACCATTGTGCCATGATGTTGATCCATTGTTTAAACCATGTAAGCATTTTTTTGTTGTTGCTTACATGTATTTGGGGAGAGGGGGTACCTGCCTTAGAACACTAAGTAAAATGAGATGTATCTTGTTTCGACTTTGTGCGGATGTTGTTTCCTCCTAAATGTACACATTTTTTCCTTGTGGTCTCAGAAACTGGAGAGAGGCAACAACATGTTGCTCCCAGACAGTGTCAAAGTGTCCACCAGAGACGCACATGTAAGTTGTAGAACACTTTTCTAGAACTTTCCAAAAAATTTTTTTTAATCATATTAAAAATCAAATTTATTAATAAACAGTTCAAATACTTAAAAAAAACAGGGTTCGTAGTGGACCGGGAAATCTTGAATTTACCGGGAATTTTTTTATCCAACAAGGAACAGCGATTTTGACCGTGATAAAGACATTCTGACCGTGAGAAACTATGAATTTTAACCACCGCAAAGAGATCGTCAAAAATCCTGTGATTTTTAAGTAACAGAAAGTATTGTGATCGGCACTCATAGAAAGGCAGTTAGGCTATTTTTGGGGGCCATTTGGCTTTTTTGGGCCATTTGGCTAGTTTTGGCTACTTTCATTTAAGGTCGTTTCAGGTATTAGGGCACCTGATTATTGTCTATTTTCAGCCAAAATGGCTTGTTAAAAGCCAGGGGAAGGGCGGGCTGTGTTGCAGCCCATGAATACATGCACGCGGCGTGGCATGGAAGGGGGGGGGAGGAGCAGCTGAGGCTGCCGTCTCTCGTGTGTTTGTGCCTTTGTTTCTAGTGAGTCCGGCAGAATTAATAGTATGAATCGTTTTATGGCCGTGGTCTCTAGAAAGGATTACATTGGGAGATGGTGGGGCTCGGTTGGGTTGTATTTATAAATAGTCGGCCGTGGTGGGAGCTAAGCACAGCCTTCTTTATTAATTAAACACAGCAAAGTGACCGTCAGCTGGATTTCCCAGTTCTATTTTTGGCCTGGTTTTATCTTTACAGTGTGTTTGGCGATCAGTATTGTAATTCCCCGAGATTCCCTCTTCTGTTGTTTCACCCATCTCTCTCTTTCTCTCTTCCCTCCCTCTTTCACTCTTCTACCTATTGCTCCTTTCTTCCCGTCTCCTTCATTGTCTCTAACCCTCCCTTCTGATCTTCATCTTGTTCTCTTTCTCTCTATCTTTCCATTTACTCTCTTATTTCCTGCCCCCCCCCCTTTTCCTATTTTATTTCTTGTTTAAATGTTTAGTAAATGTGCCGCTTCATAACTCTTTTCCTAGCAACTCAAGTACACAGGAAGTTGTATTATGGTTGAGGGGTCGTTCAGCGTGAACATAGTGGATATTGTCTTTTGATGTGTTTGTTTTCTTAGCGGCCTTAATCTCTGTCCATCTCTCTTTCTGCCCCCTCACATTTTGTCCTACCTGTTCCTCACTCTCTGCCTGTCTGTCACTGCTTTCCTCTCTCTTTCTCTTTGTATTTTCCGCTCTCCCTTACCCCCCCCCCCCCCCACTCTCTCTCTCTCTTTCTCCGTACCTTCAGTTGGCGTAGAAAGTTATGTGTTGCCTAGTGCAGAAAAAATTTCATGTCCACCACTCCCCTTCCCTCACACACAAATTAAATATATGTTTACTTTTAAAAACACATTTGCCGTCACCCCCACTCCCTTTTCTCGTCCCACATTGATGACAACTAGGGGAGGGGGTGCACCCCTTCCTGCTACCTTCTTCCCTCTATATCTCATCTTATTTCTTACTCCCTTCTTTCTCTCCCTGTCTGTCCCCACTTTATTTTCTTAAAGGTTATTCTCTCACCTTTCTCACCCCCTCTGTTTCACCCTTACCATCTCAGCTTTCTACACCACCTTCCACCACCTCCTCTCCCCCTCCTTTCTGTAATTGGAAAACCAGAAATAAAACAATTCCACTGATGCCCTGACCTATTTGTGTGTGGGTAACCTGCTCTATTTTCCATCGGTGGTGGGTTGGGTCCCCTGGACTTTTTTCTTCATAAAATGACCTTGGCTCTCAGGTCACGAGCCTTAGGTGTAAGAAATTGAACTATTGTTGTCACACCAGATAGGACAAGCAAGGGGCAGTAGGGGTTAGCACTGTTGTTTATGGACCACAGTCACATTCTCACTGGAAGAGGGTAGGAACCGGAAAAGTGGAACCACTTAGAGATTTCCTAATTCTATTTTTGGCGCTCACTGTTCTTATCGCCACCCCCCCCCCCCCACACACACACACAATCATGTCTTACCTCTCTTCTCTCACCCCTTCTCTTTCCTTTGATCTTCCACTATTCTCCTTTCTCTCTCCATTCTTCCTCTCTTCCTTTCCTTGCTCTTTTCTCTCTTGCTCTTTTCTCTCTTGCTCTTTTCTCTCTTGCTCTTTCTCCTGTCTCATCTCTTCTTTGTCTCCTCTCCATCCTGTCTTTTCATTTTTTCTAGATTTCCTTACCCTCTCCCCTCTCTCATTCTCTCTCCCCCCCCCCCCCCCCCCAATCCCCATTTCCCCCCTGGTTCATCTACATAAGTTTTTTGCCCCATAACCTTCTTTTCCTAGTGATTGTATCCACTACACTTGAAATTGTGTGTGGGAGGGGGGGGGGGGGGGGGGTTTCAGCAGGAGGCTGTTTTTTTTCTTTGATGTATCTTGTCTCCCTTCTTGCCCCTCTCTCTTAATCGTGTTTGTCACTGCCTTCCTTACCCACCTCTCTCTCTCTCTCTCACACACACACACTCTCTCTCTCTCTCTCTCTCTCTTGCTTTATGTCTGTTTGCCTCCCTTCATCACTTCCTCTTTGTATACCTCCCTCCCATTCTCCTGCTTTGCCTTTTTTCTCTTTCTTTGGTTCTCTCCGTCTGTCTGCTTGCCTCTCTATGCTGTCCCTCTGTCTCTCTCTCCTTTATGTCTACAATTCTCTCTGCTTGCATCTGCTTTTCTCCCTGTCCGTTCTCTCTCTCTCCCCTTTATGTCTACAATTCTCTCTGCTTGCATCTGCTTTTCTCCCTGTCCGTTCTCTCTCTCTCCCTCTGTCTCCCTTCCTCCAACTATCTTTGTAATATTTTCCTCCTTCCATATCTCTGTTCCGTTCCCTTCTTCCTTCTCTCTTCATCTGCCCATCTCTATATCTGCATTCCCTCTTTCTGTATTTGTCTTCCTCTCTGTCTTTCGCTGTCCCTTCCCCACTTTCCCTCATCATGTCTCCATCCCTCCCTCTCATTTTTTCCTTCTTCCCCAAGACTTCTTTTCCTTCTGTCCTCTACCTTCATCTGTCCATCTTTACACTGTCTCTCCCAGCCTTCCTCAGCATGTGTCTTCCTCCCTCTCTGTATGACTCTCTTTCTCTCCCCCTAACCCTTTCAGGTACCAAGTCCAGAACAGACAGGGCTTTAGTTTGCTGCCCTTTACCACCAAGACCTAAAAAAAATTTCAAACACTTTATCAAACGCAGGGGCCGACCAACACGAAGATGGGCACAGAATATAAGTGACTCCTTGTGTATAAAAAGGTACATGAGACGGGAGAGCTGGTGAGAGACTAATTTTTATTTCAGGACAAATGAAATGCTACATGATGATAATGATATATGTGCTGGTATACCAACACATGTGGCACGAAAGAAGTACATTGTGTGCTCGGTACACCCTTGAACAAGGCCAAAATCTTGTTTCAGTATTACACCGAGACAACCTTGAAAAAAACTAAAGAGACCTTGAAAAGGACCCTGAAAAGCCTTGAAATTGATTGGTAAATTTGGCTATGAACCCTGAAAAAATCATACCTATAATTGATATTATTGGTGTCCGCCGCTGAATCACAAGATCATTTCTCGCCATAGAGCAACTTGCCTGGCCATAGCTGGCTTGAAATTTATTCGGAGGAATTCCATGATGTCTGATAATTGACACGCTTCAAACTAACATTTCCACTGGCACAGAAAACCCATCCGCCTTTATTTCCTTGACATATTCCAACAGATTGGTTTCTTCTCCGGGTATTTCACCTTCCTGGCATGAAAGGATTGTTGACTTTAACATTTTTTTTTCCAAGAGCATCTTTCATTCCAGTCGAACTTCTCATATTTTTGTCATGCACGTCGAACTTTCTCCCAGCCATTTTTTTTAAACATTTTCTTGCGCATAATGCACTACTTGCAAATTAAACAACTGTAACTTGTTCTTACATGGCTCATCTTTCACTGCTTACAGGTACTGCTGTTTCAGTTTTTGTCTTTCAACCAAAATTCTAAGAAAATTATTTTTTGTCTGAAAATTATCATCTCAAAGGTAAAGGTAAAGTTGGGAGATGTGAACCAGCGTCATTGCACACGGTTATAAACCATAAGTGCTCTGCCACCCGTACGGACAGCTGATAAGAAAGTGTCCGCCTGTGTCGCCGTCCGCACACAACTCTGAAACTACAGCGACTTTCCTCCATTTACCCCAGTGTTAACTCTGGTACCCATTTCCTAGAGGCTGGGTGAACCCCGAAAGCCGCCCAGTTTCAAACACCGGCCGCGGGCCGCAGGTAGTCGCAGCTGGATTTGAAAGCGAGTCTCCCATTGACTGTGTTAACAATGCCCAGAAATGGCTTGCGACAAATACACACAAAAATATGATAACTAGGTTGACATGCAGCGTATGTTGAAGATCTGTTATAACCAACCATCATTGGTGAGATAACATATGATTGCTTCAAAATAGTTGACAGAGATAGGCTCAACAAAATGTCCATGTTTTCTCCCTGTCAGTTTATGAATTCATGTAAAGTTTTGTCTTTGTGAAACTTTTGCAGCATTACTTCTCTATGCTCCTGCACAGCAACGAAACATTCAACCTCATGGAGCAGCTGGCCAACATGGCGATGAAACAGTAAGTCAGTGCATTCTTTTCACATGAGATGCCAGGATGTCACGTTGTCTTTCCTTGTGAGTTCTGAAGCCCCATTTGGGGGGAGGGGGGTAGACCCACTGCCTCGCTGACAAGCATGTTGAAAAAAAAAAAACTAATTAGGGATGTTTTCTTTGATTGGACTGCATCTGCCTGGAAGATGAAGGATCAACAGTCTGCATACAAAAATTAGTCAGTTCTGTAAAACAGATGTGCACACAAAACTCAAGTTCTAGAAAAAGACTAAGTCCAGAAATGGACAAACAAGCAAAACTTATGGTCAATGTTTAAAACTGGTGAACGTTAAGAAAAAAGAAGTTACATTGTCCGGCTCAGTTAGTCTTCTTCTTCTTCTTTTACTTCAGCGTTCCGAGCTCTTGAGGTTCATTGCTGCAGATATCACCTGCCTCTATTCATCTCTCTGGTTGGCCTTCTCTGTCCAGTTGGTGACACCAAGTGTTTGCAGGTCTGTCTGGATATTATCTCTCCATTGTCTTCTTGGTCTGCCTCGTGGTCTACGACCATTCTTCTCCCTCGTGTATGCAGTTTTTTTCTTCTGTCATCTGACCTTCTTTCAGTATGCTCCAACCATTTCAGTCATTTCAAGCTCAGAGATTGGTATGGTTTATTTGTTTTACACATTTAGTTCTGAAATCTACCTTTGTGACTGGATCGTAAGGTCGTGGGTTCACTCCCTGGTGGAGCCGGACTTTTGTGTGTGTGTGTGTGGCTCCAAGGTCGACCCAGCCTTGAGTTAGTTCCGGGTGCAGTCCTGGGAAGTAAAGCCAGCAAGCGTGATGCTGACCACATCACCCATATTGTGCCGTTGGTCTATAAAATATAGATCTAGCCCTTTATACCAAAAGGTGGGAAAAGAATCCTTTACCTTTGTTACCAACAGTAAAATCTAAAATTTTTGGCTTTGTTGTGAGAAGGGAAAATAAACAGTAGAAAGGTAAATGAAGAAATGTAAACTTGACTTGGTACATTATGGGCAGAAAAGCAGCAGACCTGGGACGGTGGAAACCGTTTTTGATGCCTTATGTGTCAACAAGCAAGTGATCAAGTTAAGAAACCATGGCTTGTGTGGGTGTGTGACTCTTCTCCTATAATAATGTAAACATATGTCTGTGTGATCATCATTATTGCTTCATATTGTGTGTTGCAGGCTGATGCAGGAACCTGGATTTCAAGAAGATAAATCATTGGCAACAAAACTGACTTTAGCAAAGTAGGTGCCAGTTTTGGTGATCAGATTTACAGTCCTGTTTGTGTGCTGGACGTATCATTGTTAGTCTCACTGTAGGAACTGTTAACTGGCATAGTGGTTAACAAATATTGTAGTTATCAAGCAGGGCGATTAACAGGTCTTTAGATTAACAAACATGAAGATTACCAAAAAAGATGATTTACAAACAAAAAATGACAATTAACAAACATGGTACTAACATATGGGATTATTAACAAACATGATTCAAAAAAGAAAAAATGATGATTAACAAACACAATAACAAACATGGTATTAACAGAAATGATGATTAACAAACATGATGATTAACAAACATGATATTTACAAACATGATGATTAACAAACATGGGATTAACAAACATTATGATTAACAAACATTATGATTAACAAACATTATGATTAACAAACATGATATAACAAAGATGATGTTAACAAAAATGATGATAAACAAACATGGTATTATCAGAAATTATGATTAACAAACAGTATTAATGAAAATGATGATTAACAATCATGAGAATTAACAGGCATGGTATTAACAAAAATGATGATTAGCAAACAAGATGATTAACAAACATGATGATTAACAAACATGGTGTTAACAAAGATGATATTAACCAAAACCATGATTAACAAACATGATATAAACAAACAAAACAATTAACAAACATGGTGTTAACAAAGATGATATTAACCAAAACCATGATTAACAAACATGATATAAACAAACAAAACAAGTAACAAACATGGTGTTAACAAAGATGATATTAACCAAAACCATGATTAACAAACATGATATAAACAAACAAAACAATTAACAAACATGGTGTTAACAAAGATGATATTAACCAAAACCATGATTAACAAACATGATATAAACAAACAAAACAATTAACAAACATGGTGTTAACAAAGATGATATTAACCAAAACCATGATTAACAAACATGATATAAACAAACAAAACAATTAACAAACATGATATAAACAAACAAAACAATTAACAAACATGGTATTAACAAAGATGATATTAACCAAAACACTGATTAACAAACATGATATAAACAAACAAAACAATTAACAAACATGGTGTTAACAAAGACGATATTAACCAAAACACTGATTAACAAACATGATATAAACAAACAAAACAATTAACAAACATGGTGTTACAAAGATGATATTAACCAAAACCATGATTAACAAACATGATATAAACAAACAAAACAATTAACAAACATGATGATTAACAAAAAAAATTATTAACAAACATTATATTAACAAACTTGATTACTAAACATGATATTAACAAAGATGACAATTAACAAACTTGACAGTAAACAAACATAACAATTAACAAACTTGACAGTAAACAAGCATGACAATTAACAAGCATGACAGTTAACAAACATGACAGTAAACAAACTTGACAGTAAACAGACATGACAATTAACAAACTTGATAGTAAACAAACTTGACAGTAAACAAACATGGCAGTTAACAAACTTGACAGTAAACAGACATGACAATTAACAAACTTAACAGTAAACCAACATGACAATTAACAAACATGACAACAAACTTGACAGTAAACAAACATGACAATTAACAAACATGACAGTAAGCAAACATGACAGTAAAAAACTTGACAGTTAACAAACATGACAGTAAACAAACATGACAATTAACAAACTTGACAGTAAACAAACATGACAATTAACAAACTTGACAGTAAACAGCCATGATAGGTAACAAATAGGACAGTAAACAAACTTGACAGTAAACAACCATGACATGTAACAAACATGACAGTTAACAAAAATGACAGTTAACAAACAAGACAATTAACAAACAAGACAGTTAACAAATGTGACAGGTAACAAACAGGACAGTTAACAAACATGACAGTTAACAAACAAGACAGTTAACAAATGTGACAGGTAACAAACAGGACAGTTAACAAACATGACAGTTAACAAACAGGACAGTTAACAAACATGACAGTTAACAAACATGACAGTAAACAACCATGACAGGTAACAAACAGGACAGTAAAAACCATGACAGGTAACAAACAGGACAGTAAACAACCATGACAGGTAACAAACATGACAGTTAACAAACATGACAGTTAACAAACATGACTTTCCTAGTGGGTTCCAGGGCCTCATTGCAGCAGCAGAAAAAGGAGAAACATGGGATATACGAACAGAGAAGACAAAAACAAAATATTGCACAATTTATTGCACAGCATATTTGGTTGTATCTCGTCAATAAATTGTGCAGTCATTTGTTTGTGCCTTCTTTGTTCATATTTTTGTATAGCCTGCAGTCTAAGTAATGGACTCTTCCACGTCAACAATACATTGGGTATATGATGCTCGCCTCATTGTATTTATAGAACAGTCAGTACTTGATAGCCCTATGGTCGGTATCATACTAGTTAACCTTTACTTACCCAGAAATTTCCTAGTACGAGATCTTTTTTTCTGCTTCTTCGCGTTTACCATCTGTAAACTCCAGCGACAAATTCTGATTGTTCCTTCACATCTAGTCTATACAAATATGGTTACAGTGCCATATACACAGTGGCACAAACAGTGTCCTTAGTTTTCATATTACACATGCCTCGAACTGTATTTAACCTGACCTCTGATCTTTAGCCAGATATTTGACCTCTAATCTGACCTCTGATCTTTAGCCAGATATTTGACCTTTAATCTGACCTCTGATCTTTTGCCAGATATTTGACCTTTAACCTGACCTCTAATCTTTAGCCAGATATTTGACCTGTAACCTAACCTCTGATTTTTAGCCAGATATTCGACCTTTAACCTGACCTTTGATCTTTAGCCAGGTATTTGACCTTTAACCTGACCTCTGATCTTTAGCCAGTTATTTGACCTGTAACCTGACCTTTGATGTTTAACATCATTCTCCTGTTTGTGCTTGCAGAAAGAAAAAGAAAATGTCGGTGCTCAAGCGAGATCTTGATGCCAAGGCTCGCAGTGAAAGATTCAGGTATGGAACATACTTCACAGGCTTGCTGCAAGTTATTAGCAGGCTGGCTTGACAGTGACAGTCGAGGATTCTATCCTGAGCAACAGCAACAAAATGTTTTGTTTGGAACCTGTGATCTAGACTAATATTTTTTTTTTAATAGACAAGTCAGCACTCAATGGCAGATGTGGTCAGTATCATGCCTGCCACTTTTACTTCCCAGAATAGTACATGGTATCCATTTGAGGCTGGGCCAGCCTTGTAGCCAACGTCAAATTTGTAAAAAAAAAAAAAAAAAAAAGCTTTTGCCCGTTTTGGAATCAAACCCAAGAACTTTGGCTTGGCAGGTGAGCCTCTAGCACTGGTGTTGCTGTACCATTCCCCCTCCCCCCCTCAAGCCCACCAGCCGCTCTCCGTTGGGCCATAAAATTATTATTTATCTGTTGGAGAGATCTACTTTCAGGGAATGAATGCAATATATTTATTTTGGGAAAGAACGTTGCTGGAATATCAGTATATCTGTCACAACAGTGACCTAGCCTGACTGTTGCTGGTAAGGCTTGTGGCAGAGCCTTGTGTTGGCTGTGCCTAAAGGACACCCAGGCAGACTGGTTCTCCCAAGATTAGGCAAGGATAAAGCTGGAGCAGTGGTACCATGTGTTGAAGTTTCACACTAGTATACATCATTGGTGGGAGTCGCCGTGGTGTTGGCGGCTAGACACCTGGCTGCAGATCGGAAGGTCATGGGTTTGCGTCCTGATGGAGCTGAATTTTTTTTTAAATGACCTTGATACCCAAGTGGACCCAGCCTTGAGTGGGTCCAGGTGCGGTCCTGGGATGTAAAGGGGGCTGGCATGATGCTGACCACATCACCCACCAAGCGGCGATTGATCTATAAAAATACAGGTCTAGCCCTATATTCCCAATACACTGAAGGCGTGGAAAAGGGTGATAAAAGACCACTTCCCTAGGTCAGGTCTTTAATTTTTCTTTATTGTAGTTGTAACTAGAATGTCTTTGCACTGGAACCCACAGGCGCATAGAAATAAACACCCAAAAACACATGGAGAAGAGAGCTAGAGAGTGAGGTTAAAAATATGGGGAGAACTGCATACCATAGCAAAGGATAGAACGTTTTGGCGTGAGTTGGTTGAGAGCCTGTGCTCCATTGGGGGCTAGAAAGGCGGAAGAAAAAGAGACAGTTGGCATTTGTTCATTTTTATATCTTGTAAACATAAGTTAGTTATTATTTGTTGTCTGTCTTTGGCTCCAAAACATTTCATAGGTGCTAGCTTACTTGTTTATAATCCATCTTGGTTTAAGGTTCATAATGGCTGCATACTGTATTAGGCGGTCAGTCTTAACTCCTTGTTCTTCATGCTTCTTTTGATTAGTCTCTCCGCAGCAGTCTCTCTCTTCATGTCTTAATAACAGCTTCATCCTTCAGGTTTGTCGATCTGAAGAACCCAGCATTGTTCTTCTTGGTAAGTCCTCTAGATGTCCATCTGAACTCTGTTGTTTGACCGTCCCCCTCTGGACTCTGTTGTTTGACCGTCCCCCTCTGGACTCTGTTGTTTGACCGCCCCCCTCTGGACTCTGTTGTTTGACCGCCCCCCTCTGGACTCTGTTGTTTGACCGCCCCCCTCTGGACTCTATTGTTTGACCGCCCCCCTCTGGACTCTGTTGTTTGACCGCCCCCCTCTGGACTCTGTTGTTTGACCGTCCCACTCTGAACTCTAACTTGACCTGTAGAGTCACTAATAGGTCATATTGACCATTTTTTAAATTCCACTTGCAATTGTTGTCCGTGTCTGTGGCTGAGGCCTTGCGAACACGCTTCGTAATGCCGGGGTACTGGGTTTGATCCCTGCTGCTGACGGTTTTGTCTTGCGTTGGTTTTGACAGTAGTACCAAGAGCTGACCGTTCAGAAGCAAGAGCAAAACACTGAAAGTTTAATTTGTCTAGAAAAACCACAACAGCCAAAAAATGCTGGGGTTAGTTCTGCAACATCCTATAAAGGATACACAACTAACGTTTTTGTTGTTGTTGCAATTGTTACTCTGTGACAATCTTGTCACAAAATTGACTTCGTCTGACTGTTTCTGGTATACCAGCCGCAAAATTGGTCTAGTCTGAATGTTAGTGTATGACAACAGTGATCTTGTTTGAATTTCAGTTCACATTGATACCTTATAGCAATAAAAATGGTTTTTGTTAAAACACACAGCGGCGTCCGTGGCTAAGGCGTTGCGAGTCCGACTCGTAAGCCAGCATACCGCGATCGAAACCCACTGCAGGCTGCGTGGATTTTTGTCGTGGTATGGGACGTCGCAGGTCGACCCAGCCTAAAATGGGTACCAGGATGGGCTGTCCTGGGAAAGTAAAGACAGCCGGCGTAATGCTGACCACATTACCCACAGAGTGCTGATGGTCTGTAAAAATATGGGACGCTCTGCCCATATGCCCGATGCGCCGAAAGGCATGAAAAGGGAACTTTACTTTTACTTTACTTACACAGGTTGGCTTTCCGTCTGCCTGTCACAGAGAAGTTGGATGGAGATGAGGAGTGTACGTTGTGGACCCCGTACAACAAGCAGCACGTATGGGGGCGACTGTACCTCTCTAATAACTACATATGTTTCACTAGCAGAGTGAGTTGTTTTCATCTTTATCATTATCCTTCTTCTCCTTCTTTTTTTCTCTCTGTCTACATCTTCTGCCTTCACTGAGGATATAATATTGTTGAGTTTAATATTTGAGCCTTTCAGCTGACACATCTGACTTCTTCAGGTATATTTGGCCCTGGCTAGCCTTCCCAGTTAGTTAGCACAGCCTCACTGTTGTGTTGTTGTCATCTTGGCTTCTTAGTCCACATGTGGTGATCCCCAACAGGCTGGTCAGGTAATGCAGGGGCAGAGACAGAACTTAAGCATTTCTCACCATCCACGGAGGTGTCATAAATGCTCTCTGTGCTGTGGTACTAGGCTCACCCAAGGAATTGTTATATCCTGCTCATTTGGAAGAGATCAGAGCACCAGTGAAGTAGATCTGTCCAGAGTTAGTTTGTTACTCTTTTCTCTTGAGCCTAGAGTGGCACATAGGGCAGAGGTCATAGCTCTCCATGTCTGGCGGTTCGTTGCCACCTGTTTTAGGTAATAGATGTTCATCAGGCCCATCGTTGAGCCTTCCCTGATGCTGGGTCTACGTTGGGTCTCTCTTGGTTTTCCCCGCTTCTGGTGTCCAAATGAGGGCTTGATAGAGGACAGAGAGCTGTAATAATAATCCTGCCTAATTATTTATTTGGCTGTAAAAGGAATTTCAAACATTCCTTTGCTAAACCAAGTCTCTGAGTCCTCAAAGACTAAATATAATAACTTGATCTGTAGAATCTGATGTAGCCTCATGTAAGTTGCATCTGTTTGCAGGTCAAAGACCTCGTCACACTCATCATTCCTCTGAGAGATGTTTCCCTGGTGGAGAGGATAGACAACTCTGTCTCCGGAAACCTCATTAACAAAGCCATTCTGGTCACTACCAAAAACAAGGTAAACTATTGGCCTGATTTGTTGTAAATTTACCAGTGAAAATATTTATTGTTTTGTTAGAATCATGAGCTCCCCATAAGGTTGCCGGGACCCCATTGTGGGGAGGACAAGAATAGACCCACTGCCTCCCCAATAAACATGTTGTAGGAGTCAGTTAATTTGGGACATCCTTTGAAATTAGAATGCATCTGCCTGGGAGGCAAAGAACAACGCAGTGTACATAAAGAAAAAAAAAAGAAGAAGAGCCCAGAAGGCCATAACTAATGTCTGAAAGATGCAAGAATAACAACACCCAAGTATAGGTCCACTGCTTCAACAGGGGCCAAACACACAACTGTGGAAGGAAATAACCTTTGAGCTGAAATGCTACAGAAAGATTTGTAGAATACCATGGATGAAAAGATTTACATTCTGAAAGATCTGAAACTCCAACTTTATGAAAATGAGCTGTCCCTAGAGCGAGGTAGTCACACATATAGTCCTAAATTTATGCTCTGGTGGCCCCAGGAAGTTCAGCAAATTAGGACAGTTAAAGTAGCTATGATTTTGGACGCTGATAAACTTCTATATTTCTTGGTTTTATTAGAGATTTGTTTTCTTTTTTCTTCTTCAAAGACAAACTTTACTTTTTCGGAATTCCAAGACCGCAACTTCATACTGGAGAGAATTTCTGATTTCCTATCTAGGCAGCCGACCATGCAAAGGTACTTTAAAAAAAAATTTTTTTTAAATGTCAAAAATTGTTAACGATAAAAATTTTGTTTTGTTTTGTGGAAAAAGTATGATCGTGTTTGGTTCCTGAGCCCCTTTTTTATGAGGGGGAAGAATTGATCCACTGCCCCTTGAGAATATTATATGTACATTTAAAAACAAACAGTCTGATGATCGTCACTCATATAAAGACAGAAAGATAGAAGGACACACTAGACAACATAGAAATAAAAACTATTGGTACCATCCGAGAATAGAACCTATCATCTCCATATAGCCTGTGCGCGTCACTGTGGAAACAAATGTACTAAGAACATGGTCAACTAGGCACTCCTAATATTTCTACAGCCTCAAGGGATGCCCCTTTTTATTTATGCCTCCGGCAAGCATGTCATAAAAGCCCACTGTTAGGAGTTTGCTGAAATCAGTTGTGCTGGGCTGAAAGGTACAGCCAAGCTGTAAACCACATTGTTCGGACAGCCCTTTAAGTGCTAACACAGAGGAGGAAGAAGATGATTAGTTTGATCATTCTGTTGCATTTGCAGATCACAGTCATCATACAGAGAAACTGTTGGTGCCAAACTCCCCGTATGGGTTCCGGGGCCCTTTTGCTGAGGGTTGGGGGGGGGGGGGGAAATAGATCTATCACTATCCTAACACGCAGGTCGTAAAAGGCAACTAATTAGGAATGTTTTCTTTGAATTCATAGCGAATTTTCACAAGAGGTGAGGAACCAACAGTCTGCATGCAAATAAGCCAAATGCCTCTTAAAACAATTTACAGGGGCATGTAGAACCAGAAGCATTTAACTATGCTTTTTTAGAGCATGTCACTGCAGAAGTGGGTATATATCGGCATTTACAAGGCTGTGTCACAGCTGGAAGTGACCAGGTTTAGCCTTGTCAGGGCAACAGCGTTAAGTTTTCAAAAACAAATGATGACAAGAAAGCACAACGGAGAGAAAGGGAAAGAAATGAACACATACAGCGGAACGTTTCGAGTCTTTGTCAGTGGACAAAAGGCTTAGCTGTTGAAAGTTTGAATTCCATTTGTGAAACATTTGTGACAGATGTCAGGGTTGTTTTAGTCGTCAGTAGTCAGAAAGTGACAAATATGAAATTGTTTTTGTCTCTCTTCTTAACAGGCCTAGTGTGTCTGAGGATAAGAATGCCGAAAATGGTAAGAAGTTGTTGGTTGTTCTTGTTATTATTGTGTATTCGCCCTTATAAAGGGCAGTTGGAACATTAAAGTTAAAGTTGAGGATTGGCTTCATTGCACCAGGTTTTATCCTGTATGGCTCAGTCTCACTCTACAGAAGGCCACCTGCCAAGAGTGTCAAACAAAGCACAAACTCCTTAGCCCCAGCAACGATCCTCATGGATCTCCATAAAAATTGCATTCGTGAACTCAACAACATGCCTGTGAGACAAACCCATGGCCATCTGAGGGCAAGGCAAATGGTTTGATCCCTTTGCCAAATGTTGGCAGGTTCTAAAAATTTGTGTGAACATACCATTAAACATGATACATTAAGACAAAGATCAGAAGGAAGAAGTTTGTGTGCAGTTTTTGTCTCTTTGTTTTCTCTCTGTTAGTTAATCGACAGACTATCCTCATTGCACATCGGACCAGTCCATCAGCGCTTGGATCCCATCTTCAATATATCCTTCAGCGTGTGGCGACCGATAACACCAGTTCTTTGTTGGTTTACTATTCTTCTTTGGATACCTGTATAGTGTTCATGTTTGGCAACACCTCTTTTGACTTGAAATTCTTGTAGTCTTTTGAGTGTTGATGATTCAGTCCCATCTTCTGAATATCTTCCTGTCCTGTCTCCTTAAGAACATTGAGAATGTCAGCCCAGTTCATTGCTTTTCCTGTACCTACCGTGGTCCTGCCAGCAAGCCAGTCTGCTCGTTCATTCCCTCTTACCCTAGAGTGTCCTAGCACAAAAATTAAAATGATTCCTAAAGAGAAGATTCTGCCATTCTCTGTGTAAGCCCCAAGCATCACACTTTGTTAACCTTCACTTTGAGTTGAGTTGATTCAAGAACTGACATCACAGCCCTCAGGGCATTCCCATAAACACTATGTCCCCATCTTCAGCAGAGTTTCAATACCAACGGTGCCAGTAGCATTCTGATTATACATCCGTCTTTTCTTTCCTCTGGATGTCGAGTATCAGCCAGATCCCCTCGTCACTCCCCGCTGCATCAATCTCACCAGACTGTGGTGATCCATTTGCTCCTCAGATTTGTACACATTCTCCTACAAGACCCTAAACACCTCTTCATTATCAGGCATCAATATTCCACCAACTTGTGCAGAGCCAGCCAGTCTGTTCACCTGTTGTCATTAATTAGTAGTGATTTAAACAGATTATGATTTTTCTTATTGCTTCTCTCATGTTCTACAGTTGATCTGTATAATTCTGACATATTTTTTACATTTTTTCTACAGTTGAAATATATAGTTTCTACATATTTTCTCCTGTTAAACTAAATAACTCCTTCATTTGTTCTACAGTTGAAATATATAGTTTTTATATATTTTCTACTGTTACACTATGTGAGTCCTACATATATTCTTCAGTCAAAATGTATAGTTCCTACATATGTTATGTTCGTATCTGCCGATATGTTATGTTTGCATCTGTAGCTGAGGCGTTGCAAACGGGTTTTGAAATACTGGGGTGCTGCGTTCAGTCCCAGCTGCAGACGATTTGTATTACGTTGGATTCGGCAGTGGTACTGAGAGCTGACCATTCAGTAAGCAGTGGCAAACTACTGAAAGTAAAATTTGCTAGAAAAACCACACTTGTGAAAAAAATGTTGTGGTTGGTTCTGCAATGTTCTGTAAAGGATACGCAACTAACTTATGTTGTAGAGTAAAATATGCTCTACTGTTGAACGATATGAGTCCTAAGTGTATTTCTTCTGTTGAAATATATAGTTTGTACACATATTGTACAGTGAAATATGTTTCTACTGTTGAACTATATGAGTCCTAAATAAAGTCTTCTGTTGAAATATATAGTTCCTACATATGTTGTACTGTGTAATGTGTGTCTACTGTTGAACTATATGAGTCCTACATAAAGTCTTCTGTTGAAATATATAGTTTCTACATATATTGTACTGTGAAATGTGTGTCTACTGTTGAACTCAATGAGTCCTACATAAATTCTTCTGTTGAAATATAAAGTTCCTACATATGTTGTACTGTGTAATGTGTGTCTACTGTTGAACTCAATGAGTCCTACATATATTCTTCTGTTGAAATATATAGTTCCTACATATATTGTACTGTGTAATGTGTGTCTACTGTTGAACTATATGAGCCCTACATAAAGTCTTCTGTTGAAATATATAGTTCCTACATATATTGTACTGTGTAATGTGTGTCTACTGTTGAACTATATGAGCCCTACATAAAGTCTTCTGTTGAAATATATAGTTCCTACATATGTTGTACTGTAAAATATGTTTCAACTGTTGAACTAAATGATCCCAACAGATGCTGTAGAACTGAACTTCCAACCAGCTTTGATGAGCATCTTCTCTACATCTGAACATTCAGAGCTTTCTCCAAAAGATGAAGCCAAAGAGGCAGCCAAGGAGCATTTGTGGGATCTCCATTTTGCAGAGTTTGGCAGGTGATGCTCCTTCTGTCATTTTCTTGTTAAAACTGTTCTCAATTAGTGTTTCCATATGGTAAAAATTATAATGGATACTGATGAATATTATCATGAAAGAGGTGAGGGTTCAAAGACAACTTATCATGAACATCAGAAGGAGACAGTTATTTTTTTATGGAGGATTGGATAAAGAAATGGAGAACAGAATATGGAAGGCCAACAACAGAAATAATAATAGTAATTACAACACCAGTTCAATATGCCATCGCTATTGAGGGCGAGACATTAAAACAAGCTAAAGAGTTTAACTACTTAATTAGTGTATTTACAGAGGATGAAGGATTGGACAGGGAAACAGAAAAAGATTACAGAAGGTCAAAAACCTAAATTGCCGGATAGGGCAGCGTAAAGGCATCAAAATATCAAAATGCTCACAAAAAAGCAGCTGATAAAGGCGCTATACATACCAATTTTGTACTAACAGTACAAACGTGGACAACCTAGAAAAAAAACAAAATTACAACACTGAGATGAGATGTGTAAGAAATGTGGCGGAAAAGCAAAAAAGAGACAGCCACCAATGAGGCTAAGAACAATAGAAGGCACAGTAACGGTGAATTATTTCATAGAACATCAAAGAATGAAATGGTTTGGTCATCTGATCAGCCAGCAGCTAGAGCATACCACAGCATGCTACAAGTCAAACAGTCGACCAAGAAAGAGATGGGTTAATAGAGTAAAAGAGAAATGACAGAAATGCCATATGACATTAACAAAGCTACGCAACTAGCACAAGACAGGAAGCGACATCTGACTCCTCTATGTGACACTTGATGGCATTGGCAGTAGGACAAAAGACAGGAAATGACATCTGACTCCTCTGTGTGACACTTGATGGCATTGGCAGTAGGACAAAAGACAGGAAATGACATCTGACTCCTCTGTGTGACACTTGATGGCATTGGCAGTAGGACAAAAGACAGGAAATGACATCTGACTCCTCTGTGTGACACTTGATAGCATTGGCAGTAGGACAAAAGAAGAAGAAGATGATGATGATGGTTCAGCATTTCCTGTCTGCATCATGTCTTCAATTTCTACCTATTGGAGCGTAGTCCTCAACCAACTCAAGCCAAGTTGTCCAGTATTTTGCTATCTACTGCAGCTCCCTTAGTATCTTTCGCTTGTTATTCTGGTCTATCTCAGTGCGGTTTTTTGGCTTAGAGGTCAGTAAATACATTAAACAGTTTCATGAACCTCCAACACTAGGTTTCTTCTTTTAATTTGTCTGAGTGACTTAATTATGTTATGCCTGTTTAAGGACTTACAGGTTTTTCACTAGTTTTCACTAGTTTTCAAAAGGGACATACAGGAGATTTTGTATGATTTTCACAGGCATAGAAACAGAGCAGTCATAGGGTGACCCATCTGCAGTTATTGGAACCTTGACTAAGTAACTGACTAACTAACTATTAAGTTGTTTATTTTCTCATTATGGCCAATCCACCGCCAGTCCTCTCTTCCTGATTCACATGAATTTGTTATTTCCCAATCGGTGATTCTGTCATATCCTTTCCATTGTTCTATTCTCTCCAGGTCTCAGTTCATGAACGTTTGTAGTTTACTGGTGATGACTTTTATCTTAGCATCACACTGGCATAGTGATGCTAACCTGCCAGCCTAAAGATCTTAGTTGCGAGAAGAATGAAATGAAATCACATGGGGCTTGAGAGCTGGCTAGAGAAAGGGCTACTTTCAGGCGTGCAGTGAGGAGAGCGATGTTTTATGTAAAGGACTTACTGATTGATGATGATAGACTTGCTGATTGATGATGATAGACTTGCTGATTGATGATGATAGACTTGCTGATTGATGATGATAGACTTGCTGATTGATGATGATAGACTTGCTGATTGATGATGATAGACTTGCTGATTGATGATGATAGACTTGCTGATTGATGATGATATTTAGACCCCCAGATGCTGAAAACTAAAGCCTTATATTTTGAGTGCCCCATTATGGATTCTGGTGCCCCAGTTTTGGTGAAAACAGAATACCACAACTGCCACACTAAAAAGCATGTTGTCAAGACGACTAATTATGTTTTTAGATTGACTAAATTACACTGATTAAATTTGCGAAAATTGTTTGTGTTGTACTGGAAGAGAAAGTGCCATTGGCACATTCTGTTATGGTTTACAGCTAGGCTGCAGCATCTGCACCTTTTAGCCCAACACATGTGATTTCATCAGAATGCTGTAGTCTGTAAAGGTACATCACTCTGTGAAAGCAAACAAAGGGACATGACTCATGTTGTATTCTGACAGGGGCATGTGTATGTATCGAACACACGACACACTTCAGCTGGTCCTCAAGGGCATTCCGGATCAGTACCGGGGGGAGATGTGGATGGTGTTCTCTGGTGCTGTAAATGAGGTACGTATGGTGTGCATCTTTGTTGTCACATGTTTCATATCAGTGGTTTTCAACCTTCCTCAAGCCACGACCCTTGAATACAGTTCCTCATGTTGTGGTGACCCTTTAATACAGTTCCTCATGTTGTGGTGACCCTTTAATACAGTTCCTCATGTTGTGGTGACCCTTGAATACAGTTCCTCATGTAGTGGTGACCCTTTAATACTGTTCCTCATGTTGTGGTGACCCTTGAATACAGTTCCTCATGTTGTGGTGACCCTTTAATACAGTTCCTCATGTTGTGGTGACCCTTTAATACAGTTCCTCATGTTGTGGTGACCCTTTAATACAGTTCCTCATGTTGTGGTGACCCTTGAATACGGTTCCTAATGTTGTGGTGACCCTTTAATACAGTTCCTCATGTTGTGGTGACCCTTTAATACAGTTCCTCATGTTGTGGTGACCCTTTAATACAGTTCCTCATGTTGTGGTGACCCTTTAATACAGTTCCTCATGTTGTAGTGACCCTTTAATACAGTTCCTCATGTTGTAGTGACCCTTTAATACAGTTCCTCATGTTGTGGTGACCCTTTAATACAGTTCCTCATGTAGTGGTGAACCTTTAATACAGTTCCTCATGTTGTAGTGACCCTTTAATACAGTTTCTCATGTTGTGGTGACCCTATAATACAGTTCCTCATGTTGTGGTGACCCTATAATACAGTTCCTCATGTTGTGGTGACCCTATAATACAGTTCCTCATGTTGTGGTGACCCCCAGTAATAAAATTATTTTTGTAACTTCATAACTTCAGAAAATATGTGTTATCCGATGGTCTTTAAACCTACAAATGGGTAGCAATGCACAGGTTAAGAAACACAGTTTTATATATATATATATATATATATATATATATATATATATATATATATATATATATATATATATATATATATATATATATATATATATATAACATTCTAACATTTCTTTTCTTTTTTCTGTTTTCTCTTCACTCGGCCGCTGCCTGATGGTTTGACCAACCTGTATTACTTAAATTCCACCCACAGTCTGGTCTGAGCTAATTTTAAACTTAAAAATTGGAAAAAAAACATATTATCCTATACATGGAAAAGTACGGTAACTATATATTTTTTTTTTTTTAGCTGAACAAGTTTTCTGGGTTTTGTATACCTGTTTGATTCTCGTTCTTGCAGTTTCTCTTGGACATCCTCATCCTTGCAGTTTCTCTTGGACATCCTCATCCTCACAGTTTCTCTTGGACATCCTCATCCTCACAGTTTCTCTTGGACATCCTCATCCTTGCAGTTTCTCTTGGACATCCTCATCCTCACAGTTTCTCTTGGACATCCTCATCCTCACAGTTTCTCTTGGACATCCTCATCCTCACAGTTTCTCTTGGACATCCTCATCCTCACAGTTTCTCTTGGACATCCTCATCCTCACAGTTTCTCTTGGACATCCTCATCCTCACAGTTTCTCTTGGACATCCTCATCCTTGCAGTTTCTCTTGGACATCCTCATCCTCACAGTTTCTCTTGGACATCCTCATCCTCACAGTTTCTCTTGGACATCCTCATCCTTGCAGTTTCTCTTGGACATCCTCATCCTCACAGTTTCTCTTGGACATCCTCATCCTCACAGTTTCTCTTGGACATCCTTGTCCTTGCAGTTTCTCTTGGACATCCTCATCCTTGCAGTTTCTCATGGACATCCTCATCCTCACAGTTTCTCTTGGACATCCTCATCCTCACAGTTTCTCTTGGACATCCTCATCCTCACAGTTTCTCTTGGACATCCTCATCCTCACAGTTTCTCTTGGACATCCTCATCCTTGCAGTTTCTCTTGGACATCCTCATCCTTGCAGTTTCTCTTGGACATCCTCATCCTCACAGTTTCTCTTGGACATCCTCATCCTTGCAGTTTCTCTTGAACATCCTCATCCTTTTTTTTCTTCAATATACACAATGTACATGAAATCTTTTAAAGTGATTTTGTACATGAAATCTTTTGAAGTGGTTATGTACATGAAATCAATCACTTTCAAAACATGAAATCAATCACTTTTAAAGTGGTTATGTACATGAAATCAATCACTTGTAAAGTGATTATGTACATGAAATCAATCACTTTAAAAGTGGTTATGCACATGAAATCTTTTAAAATGGTTATGTACATGAAATCAGAATCACTTTTAAAGTGGTTATGTACATGAAATTAATCACTTTTAAAGTAGTTATGCACATTAAATCTTTTAAAGTGGTTATGCACATGAAATCAGTCTTTTTTAAAGTGATTATGTCATAAAATCAATCACTTTCAAAGTGGTTATGTACACGAAATCAATCACTTTTAAAGTGGTTATGTACATGAAATCAGTCTTTTTTAAAGTGATTATGTCATAAAATCAATCACTTTTAAAGTGGTTATGTACATGAAATCAATCACTTTTAAAGTGGTTATGTACATGAAATCAATCACTTTTAAAGTGATTATGTTCATGAAATCAATCACTTGAAAAGTGGTTATGCACATGAAATCTTTTAAAATGGTTATGTACATGAAATTAATCACTTTTAAAGTGGTTATGCACATAAAATCTTTTAAAGTGGTTATGCACATGAAATCAGTCTTTTTTAAAGTGGTTATGTCAATGAAATCAATCCCTTTCAAAGTGGTTATGTACACAAAATCAATCACTTTTAAAGTGGTTATGTACATGAAATCAGTCCCTTTTAAAGTTATGTACATGAAATCAATCACTTTTAAAGTGGTTATTTACATGAAATCACTTTTAAAGTGGTTATTTACATGAAATCAATCACTTTTAAAGGGGTTATGTCTCAAGCAGATGCACTCCGACTTCGAAAAAAAAACAACATCTTAATCACCTCTTACAACATGCTTGTTAGGAAGCTGGTGATCTGTTTCGTTTTGTTTTCTACAAAAGGGTTTCCCTTAACCCAGTGTTTCCCCAACTTTTCCTAATTGCAGCGCCTTTTTTCAGTTAAAAATTGTCCACGACGCCCTAACCTAAATAAAAGTAAGACTATTCATATGTAGGAGATTTTTAAAAAAAATCCAGTAACTTCGAACATTTTGCGGCACCCCTTTAAAGAGGTTGTGGCTCCCCAGGGCACCGCCGCGCACAGTTTTGGAATCACTGCTTTAACCCCCATAAGGAATTTCACGGACAAAGAGTTCAATAATGCACACTTTAAGGCCAGTGCTGCACTAGGTTTATGATAAAATAAACATTTTTGTTTTGTGTTTAGTTTCATTGTGTGTCTACCTTTATTTTAATGCCTTTGTGGGCTCCAGTTCTTCAAGATATATTGTTCTCAGGTTTTTTTTTTCAGTGTGTGTCCTGTCCAACGCAGCTTGTTTGCTCACCTCTTGATTCACTGGAATTTGTTCAGTTCTTTCCCTGAGCTCCACAAGGTCCACAATGACAGTTGGCTACAGTCAACCCACTGCTGTCTTTTGGAATATTATACGGTCAGACCCCAATATCTCTCAGTGTGACTCTCATACCACTGTTTAAAAAAAAAAAAAGAGAAAGATTTTGAAGCATGTGATGCAAAATCTGTTTTTTTTTCTATACACCATTCAGCACTCGGTGAGTGATGTGATTAGCATCGTGCCGGCTACTTTTACTTCCCAGGACTTTACATGGTGCCTATTTTAAGATATGTTAAACTTGAGAGTTGAGGTCAGTTTTGAAAATAAACAACCCCCAAGATCTGACTGTATTTGTATTCAAACACTGGCCTAAGCCCCAGTTTAAACACAAAATTATTGCTGTATAATTTGTTGTGAAAAATTTGCCATTTTACTTCTAAGATGGCCACCCACCCCAACTACTACGCAGACATCGTGAAACAGAGCAAGGGCCACTCCTCCATCGCAACAGATGAGATTGAGAGGGACCTGCACAGGTAGGAGTATTTGTTTTAAACAAAGAAGTCTTCTTGGGCTTTTTAGCACCAGTTATGGTGATTTTTCACAGGACTGCTATTTTTGTCCCTCTTTTCAGTTTGCCAAAAGCATGCATGCATGTAAATTCCTATTTCGAAAAGGTCATAATGAAATATTTCTTTTCCTGCGACTGCATAGTTTTCACGTGCTGCCAATCAAGCAGGTGATCATAAACTGTTCCTCACCACAAAACTTATTGGCAGACGTGGAAATTGATGATGATGATGTTTATGATGTCTCTTTGTTTAAACCCGATTTTCTTGGAACAAGGATGAACACTGTGGTCATTTTATTATTATGGTCAACAAATGTCGTCAGTGTTATAAAAAAAAGAGATATTTTAGCTAGACATAAATTAGATACTAAATTATTAGATGTGCACTTGCTATTTGTGATTACAGTTAAGGAAACAGATTTCAGCCTTCAGTGAGTGATACAGTCACTATTACTCTGACCATCTTTACTTCCAAAATTATTTCCTAACAACCATATTAGTCTGGGTTGATCTCAGATCTCAGATCACTTGTAAAACATCCGCCCCTCACTGGCGATTTCTTCTTGTTACTGTTATTATTTATCATCATCATTTACATTTGCTGCCAGAAAGAGGGTGCTAAAATGTTACATAGAACCTGTTCTGCTGTATGGCAGCAAATCTTGGAATGTAAGTGAACACATTAAGAAGAATTTGGAAGCAACAGAGATGTGGTTTCTGGGACGAATGTTACGAATACCTTGGACAGCCAGAATAACTAACAACGATTGCTTGAAAGAAGCTAATGAAAGTAGATCTCTATATACAACAATAAGAAACAAACAAACACTGTTCTTTGGCCACATAATGAGACGAGAGACATTGGAGAACATTGTGACCACTGGAAAGATCAGTGTAAAAAGGTGTAGAGGCAGACCAAGAGAGATGATGCTGGATGGGCTAAAACGATGGCAGGGAGGGATATCAAAAGAGCTGTTCAAGTCAACCAGGGATCGTGATCTGTGGAGACGCATGAGCGCCTACGCCAGTTGGCAGGGCACATGATGATGATGATTTACAGTTGCCCTTATGAAGGTGTTTAGCACATGTTGTAGTTGACTCAGAGCTATGTGATATTTATATCTGGCTCCCAAAAACATCTTAATTACTCACCTTTTACGATACGGGGGCAGTGGGTCTGTGCATTTTCCCCACAAAATGGCACCCTAGAACCCACATGGGAAAGTAGGCATCTGAAAAGCTGACTGACAGACAACACAGCAGACATGCTGGCAGCATTTCCCTATGAAATATTTTTAAAAGGACATATTTTTAAAGGTTTTTGTGAAAAAGAAACCTGTCATTATATTTTTCTAAAACTCTACCCTAAGAAATTAGAAGAAAAATGTTGAATGTTGAATTAAGAATCGATATCACAGCACTCGGGACACCCCCATAAGTGCTCCATCCCCATCTCCAGCAGCAAGCGAAGAGTTAAAATTCAGATGGCGCTGGTAACTGTCTGATTGTATATCCAACTCACCTTTTCCCTGAGTGTTGAGCGTTGGCCAGATCCCCTGGTAACTCCTCGCAGCGACATTCTCCTCAGACCATAATGATCTATCTAGGCCTCGGCACTGTTCACTCGCTCCAAAAGGGCTCTCACAACATCCAGCAAGTCATACATCAGTTCACCACCAAGTGATGCAGAACCGGCCAGTCTATGTGCCTGCTCATTTCCCAACACACTGGCATGACCTGGAGAAATTATCCAAAGGATGCTACTTGGGACCTTTGAAGTGATGCTTGCCACTCTGCATGCCTGTTCCCACCTTTCTCAACATGCTCTGTGAGTCAGTTACAATGATGGCATGTAGGTACAGCTGATTCTCAAGCCAGCGGAAGGCAGCAGTGACTGCTTCCACCTCCATTCTTAAACTAGACATTGTGATATCATATGCCAGGCTTTGTTGCACTAAGTGATGTCCATTCGCCTTTGCTATGCACTTCCTCTGCCCCTCAACACAGAGCCATCTGTATATACCTGTATAGATAAAGAAAAGAAGAAGCAGAAGAAATTTGGAGTCCGGGTCAGTTTTTATAAAAATCCAGGGGGTTGAAACCTATGACCACCAAGCAGACAGGCAAGCCTGCTAGCTGTTGAATCATGGTGGCCCTTAAGACACTAAAAAGTTGGGTTGTTCATATTTAGAGTCATTAGTTGCGCAAAGGTGATTTTTTTAAATATGAAGGGAAGTTATCACTAAATTCTTCTTCTTCTTCCTTGCGTTCGGTTTTGTATGCTCAGATCAGACCATTGGGTGGGTTGCCTCTATAAACTCGGATGTCAGCAGCCGGTCCTTCATGGTTCCCCATAGCTTGCTCTGCACACTTTGCTCTTGAGGCCAGGTGCCTTTTTGAAGTTGTAGGTAGAGTGGGCAGGTCTGCCAGCCCAGTCTGCCACTAAACAGTGCAAAGAAAAACCTCTGTCTTCCTTCTGACCAAGAAAACATGGGGCTTGTTGACACAGTTACAGAGAGCAAAGTGTCATCATCGTAAGATTGCCTTCGAAATGACATCAACATTTTATCACCCCCAAAAATGTCTCAGAAATTTGTTTTTGACTATAATCATGACAACTGCACAATGTCAGTTACAATCAGTACTAAAACTGTTATGTAAGCATATTGGCCACTGTCATCATGGGTAGTGAGCATACTTTTGATCTTTTCTCCAGTCCAGGCCATGCCGGCGTGGGGGGTAATAAATAGGCACACTGATTTGCTGGATCTGCACCACTGGGTGGTGAATTGATACATGACAAGGCAGATGTGGTCAAGGTCCTTTGGGAACAAGCAACATAATCAGTAGAGATATAAGATTATTGTGGTCTGGAGAGAATGAGGCACCTGGGTGTAACCAGTGGGTCTGGCCGGCTCACTACACTCAAAGGAAAGGTAAGATGGGCATATAACCAGTTTGTGACCGGTACCATCAGTGTTGGAACTCTGCGCTGGCTGCTGAAGATGACAGATCATGCATGGGAATACCCTGACTCAACTCAACTCGTTGGCCACTGTCTAGAGATGTAATGTTATCAAAAACTTGTAAAAGTCGGAAAACCGGCTTGCTTAGAGCTACATTGTTATAGGAATCAATTAATTCATATTTTTTAACGTAATTTTTTTTCTTTTAATTTGATATTTAAAAAGATAATATTATTTCAGAAGATTGTATTATTTTTAAAATTGTTTACTGTTTTAAAAGAATTTATTGTTTTAAACATAGTTATTGTTTTAAAAGATTGTAATAATTTAAAATATATTTTTTGGGCGGATCTTGCTTGATCTTTTGTTAGATCACTGCCGGAGCACCCAGCTTTCCAGACGGACCGAGGTATTGGGGCTTTGAGGAGGGTCTTGACAGCCTATGCCTGGAGAAACCCTAACATTGGTGAGTTTGTATTGCTATCACTTAATCTTAACTGTTCCCCATGGGGGTCTCTAGGGTCCCTTTTGGGGTTGGAGGAGAATAGACCTAAAGACCCCCTACCCCTTCCCTCCAACAAGCTTGCTGTACAAGCCAACTAATATCAGAGTGCCTGAGAGGTGAAGAACCAGTAGTCTGCATACAAATTAGGTAAATATGTAAAATGGATGTGCATTCAATACTTTATACCTAGTCTTATTTCAGGATATCCTAATCGACTGTCTTATTCTTTGATGATATAATTTATTGTCAGTATTTTGGGATATCCTATCCTGATTGGTGATCCTGTCCTGATTGATAATCCTGTCCTGATTGATGATCCTGTCCTGATTGATGATCCTATCCTGATTGGTGATCCTATCCTGATTGGTGATCCTATCCTGATTGATGATCCTATCATGATTGGTGATCCTATCATGATTGGTGATCCTATCATGATTGGTGATCCTATCCTGATTGGTGATCCTATCCTGATTGGTGATCCTATCCTGATTGATGATAATGTCCTGATTGATGATAATGTCCTGATTGATGATCCTGTCCTGATTGGTGATCCTGTCCTGATTGATGATAATGTCCTGATTGATGATCCTGTCCTGATTGGTGATCCTATCCTGATTGATGATAATGTCCTGATTGATGATCCTGTCCTGATTGGTGATCCTATCATGATTGGCGATCATGTTCTGATTGATGATCATGTTCTGATTGATGATCCTATCCTGATCTGTGATCCTGTCCTGATTGATGATCCTTCCTGATTGATGATCCGGTCCTGATTGATGATCCTGTTCTTGTGATCACTCTCTGATTTTCACTGACAGACAAGTTCTTGTGATCACTCTCTGATTTACACTGACAGACAAGTTCTTGTGGTCATTCTCTGATTTACACTGACAGACAAGTTCTTGTGCTCACTCTCTGATTTACACTGACAGACAAGTTCTTGTGATCACTCTCTGATTTACACTGACAGACAAGTTCTTGTGATCACTCTCTGATTTTCACTGACAGACAAGTTCTTGTGATCACTCTCTGATTTACACTGACAGACAAGTTCTTGTGATCACTCTCTGATTTACACTGACAGACCATTTTTTGTGATCACTCTCTGATTTACACTGACAGACAAGTTCTTGTCCTCACTCTCTGATTTACACTGACAGACAAGTTCTTGTGCTCACTCTTTGATTTACACAAACAGACAAGTTCTTGTGATCACTCTCTGATTTACACTGACAGACCATTTTTTGTGATCACTCTCTGATTTACACTGACAGACAAGTTCTTGTCCTCACTCTCTGATTTACACTGACAGACAAGTTCTTGTGCTCACTCTCTGATTTACACTGACAGACAAGTTCTTGTGATCACTCTGATTTACACTGACAGACAAGTTCTTGTGATCACTCTCTGATTTACACTGACAGACAAGTTCTTGTGATCACTCTCTGATTTACACTGACAGACAAGTTCTTGTGATCACTCTGATTTACACTGACAGACAAGTTCTTGTGCTCACTCTCTGATTTACACTGACAGACAAGTTCTTGTGCTCACTCTCTGATTTACACTGACAGACAAGTTCTTGTGCTCACTCTCTGATTTACACTGACAGACAAGTTCTTGTGCTCACTCTCTGATTTACACTGACAGACAAGTTCTTGTGATCACTCTCTGATTTACACTGACAGACAAGTTCTTGTGATCACTCTCTGATTTACACTGACAGACAAGTTCTTGTGCTCACTCTCTGATTTACACTGACAGACAGGTTCTTGTGATTACTCTGATTTACACTGACAGACAAGTTCTTGTGATTACTCTGATTTACACTGACAGACAAGTTCTTGTGATTACTCTGATTTACACTGACAGACAAGTTCTTGTGATTACTCTGATTTACACTGACAGACAAGTTCTTGTGATTACTCTGATTTACACAGACAGACAAGTTCTTGTGCTCACTCTCTGATTTACACTGACAGACAAGTTCTTGTGCTCACTCTCTGATTTACACTGACAGACAAGTTCTTGTGCTCACTCTCTGATTTACACTGACAGACAAGTTCTTGTGCTCACTCTCTGATTTACACTGACAGACAAGTTCTTGTGCTCACTCTCTGATTTACACTGACAGACAAGTTCTTGTGCTCACTCTCTGATTTCCACTGACAGACAAGTTCTTGTGATTACTCTGATTTACACTGACAGACAAGTTCTTGTGATTACTCTGATTTACACTGACAGACAAGTTCTTGTGATTACTCTGATTTACACTGACAGACAAGTTCTTGTGATTACTCTGATTTACACTGACAGACAAGTTCTTGTGATCACTCTGATTTACACTGACAGACAAGTTTTTGTGCTCACTCTGATTTACACTGACAGACAAGTTCTTGTGATCACTCTCTGATTTACACTGACAGACAAGTTCTTGTGATTAAATTTACTGGTTTTAGGAGTTCCCTTTTAGTTCCATACAACTTTGAGTACATTGTTGACTCAGTGGGCCAGTATTCCTTTCTTAGGGGGCTGTGCGAGGGAAATTCTTGCAGGATATGTTCTGTACTCTGCACACACAGCCCACAAGGGCACAGTGGTGAACTACTTAAATAAAGCCTGTGCATACGCTTGTAAAGTTTGTTATGCCCCGTCCTGAGGCATGCAATGATGACCTACCCATGGTCATCTCTGGCCAGATTCTGTTCACTTCTGGTAAATTGGATGTTCCTTTTCTTCTCAAAGTGCTGTCCGATTTCAGGATACTGTCAAGCCATGAACATTGTCACCAGCGTCTTGCTGTTGTACGTCAGCGAGGAGGAGGCTTTCTGGCTGCTAACTGCCATCTGTGAGAGGCTGCTGCCCGATTATTACAATACCAAAGTTGTGGGGGCTCTGATCGATCAAGGTTTGTGCACATAGAAGGAGTGATTGTGTGTGGGTATTTGTGTGTAAGTGCCCACATGGGTGTTTTTGTGTGAGTATCTGTGTGTCTGGTATTTTAAACGCATGTTTATGTGTGTGGGTGCTTGTGAGTGCCTGTATATGGGTGTTTGTAGGTGACTTTCTGTGTGTGGATGTTTGTATGTGAGTACCTGTGCATTTCTGTGTGCCTGTGTGTAGGTGTTTGTATGCCAGTACCTGTTTATGTGTTTCTGTGTGAGTATCTGTGTGTAGGTTTTTGTATGTGAGTGCCTGTGTGTAGGTGTTTGTATGCCAGTACCTGTTTATGTGTTTCTGTGTGTAGGTTTTTGTATGTGAGTGCCTGTGTTTGAGTGTCTGTATGTCATCATCAGTTCTCTTTATCCTAGTGGCACATGAGGCTTCCATGCTTTCCTGTCCTGTGCAATCTTCAGTGCAGTTTTCCATGTCAAAGATGCCACACTTAGGTCACTTTCCATTGTTCGTCTCCATGTTGTTTTTGGGCGCCCCGTTTTTCTCTTTCCCTCTGGTATCTATGTGAGAGCTGTTTTGGCAGTTATATCAGCATTCATTCTCATAATGTGGCCAAGCCATTTCCATCTTCCCTTGGTTATCATACTGTCTATAAAGTTTCTTGGTTTGTAACTTGAAGTAGTTTAGTGTTTGAGATTGTATCTGGCCAGAAAATTTTGATAATTCTATGTAGACATGTGTGGTGGAAGGTGGACAGCTTTTGTGCATCCTTTTTGGTAATTCTCCAGCATTCTGCTCCATAAAGAAGAACTGGCAAAATGATTCTCTTGTAGAGTCAGAGTTCCGTTCCTCTGCAGTAGCTTTTGGATTTCCAGATTTGCCTCATCCTTCCAAAAGCAGCTCTAGCTGTGTTCAGGCGTGACTGTATGTCTTCCTCTGTCCCTCCCAGTTGGGATACCACACTGCCAAGATATGGGAAATGTTCTACATTTTCAAGAGTTCGGTTATTTATGGTCACTGGTTGTTGGTTTGGACTGCTGTCATGATCTTAGTGTTCTTTGTATTTATTCTCAGTCCCACCATTTCTGCTGTGCTGTGTAGTCAGTTTTTTTCTTGTATATGTTCATGTTTATGAGTGTCTCTATGTAAGTGTTTGTAAATGCATGTATATAAAAGCCACATGGCATAGACTGTAAGAAGAAGACACCTGTGTTACCATGACAAATAGGGGAAGCACAAAATGGCAAAGCTGTAACATACTATGCATATTGTGAGAAATGACTAAGGAGGTTTATCATGAGACTAGCTACATCATCCCGCTGAAAATCAAACCATTCACAAACAGCTCTACAAAAGAAAGATTTAAAGAGGAATAGTTATGCTACAAAGGCAGCACATATTCTTTACACACTGCCACGGCTTTATGTTGTTGCCTTTCTTAATGTTAGCCAGTCATGCTAGTTTATACTTCATTGATAGATTAGCAGCAGAAAAATAGGAGAGGAAGACAGATCATGGTGTTAAAAAGGAGAAGGAGGAAATGTATGAGTATTATTTGTGCTTACCTTTCAGGTGTGTTTGAGGATCTGATCTCAGACTACCTGCCAAACCTCCATGAGAAGCTGGAAACATTGGGTCTGCTGAGTATGATCTCCCTGGCTTGGTTCTTGACCATTTTTCTCAGGTATGCAATCTCATCCTGGTTTAAACAAACGTTAGTCTCCCCACAGAAAGAATGTCACATTCCATTGATAGCTTTCTTGGACTGGTCTAACCTGTTAGGGGTTAGGGGTGTGCTGCTCTGTTGTTTGCTATCTGTGTTGTCTTGCATTTACGTTTTTGTTCCGAGAAAGAGGATGCCTGTGACAAAGGTTTCATCACTCTCTAAAGGGGTTGTGTGTTAGACTCAGTTTGTCAATGTTTTTGTAGTGTTAAAGGCGCTGGAATGCTGAAATATGGAAGACACAATATCAACGGCATTGGGGAACACCCCTCCGTCACCTTGTGTGAAGGTCGGGTGTCTCAAAATCGAATAATCAGAAGTGAGCTAGGCTGAAAGTCGACTAATCAGAAGTGAGGTAGTGTGTAGGAGTGTTTGAATGAGGCGGGGGAGGGGGGGGGGACTATCTTTACTTTTACCTCATCCTCTTGTATTGTTACTTGTTCTAGTTGTCTGGTGCATTTGTTGCATAGGATGTCACAGATCTGAAACTTGTTTACAGCAAAACTTTTTTTTTAAATTTTAAATTTAAATATTAAATACTATTTTCTTCTATGTGATGATTTACAGATGGGTGGACAGAATCTTTGGTGTAGGCATTGTGAATGTACATCATAATTCCAAAATACTTGGTTCAAATATTTTTAGCAGCAGACTGCTTTGCATTGACTGTGGACAACAGTGATGAGAGGTAACCATCTAGAAGTGATTGTGGAGACTGAGAGGCAACTATCCTGAGTTATTGTAGACAACAGTGATGAGAGACGACCATCTAGAAGTGATTGTGGAGACTGAGAGGCAACTATCCTTGTGGAGACTGAGAGGCAACTATCCTTGTGGAGACTGAGAGGCAACTATGCTGAGTTATTGTAGACAACAGTGTTGAGAGACGACCATCTAGAAGTGATTGTGGAGACTGAGAGGCAACTATCCTGAGTTATTGTAGACAACAGTGTTGAGAGTCGACCATCTAGAAGTGATTGTGGAGACTGAGAGGCAACTATCCTTGTGGAGACTGAGAGGCAACTATCCTTGTGGAGACTGAGAGGCAACTATGCTGAGTTATTGTAGACAACAGTGTTGAGAGACGACCATCTAGAAGTGATTGTGGAGACTGAGAGGCAACTATGCTGAGTTATTGTAGACAACAGTGTTGAGAGTCGACCATCTAGAAGTGATTGTGGAGATTGAGAGGCAACTATCCTGAGTTATTGTAGACAACAGTGTTGAGAGGTGACCATCTAGAAGTGATTGTGGAGACTGAGAGGCAACTATCCTGAGTTATTGTAGACAACAGTGTTTAGAGGTGACCATCTAGAAGTGATTGTGGAGACTGAGAGGCAACTATCCTGAGTTATTGTAGACAACAGTGTTGAGAGTCGACCATCTAGAAGTGATTGTGGAGACTGAGAGGCAACTATCCTGAGTTATTGTAGACAACACTGTTGAGAGATGACCATCTAGAAGTGATTGTGGAGACTGAGAGGCAACTATCCTTGTGGAGACTGAGAGGCAACTATCCTTGTGGAGACTGAGAGGCAACTATCCTGAGTTATTGTAGACAACAGTGTTGAGAGACGACCATCTAGAAGTGATTGTGGAGACTGAGAGGCAACTATGCTGAGTTATTGTAGACAACAGTGTTGAGAGACGACCATCTAGAAGTGATTGTGGAGATTGAGAGGCAACTATCCTGAGTTATTGTAGTCAACAGTGTTGAGAGTCGACCATCTAGAAGTGATTGTGGAGACTGAGAGGCAACTATCCTGAGTTATTGTAGACAACAGTGATGAGAGACGACCATCTAGAAGTGATTGTGGAGACTGAGAGGCAACTATCCTGAGTTATTGTAGACAACAGTGATGAGAGGTAACCATCTAGAAGTGATTGTGGAGACTGAGAGGCAACTATCCCTGAGTTATTGTAGACAACAGTGTGATCTGAGAGGACTAACCATCTAGAAGTGATTGTGGAGACTGAGAGGCAACTATCCTGAGTTATTGTAGACAACAGTGATGAGAGGTAACCAACAGTGATTGTGGAGAGACGACCATCTAGAAGTGATTGTGGAGACTGAGAGGCAACTAGACAACAGTGTTGAGAGATGATTGTGGAGACTGAGAGGCAACTATCCTGAGTTATTGTAGACAACAGTGTTGAGAGACGACCATCTAGAAGTGATTGTGGAGACTGAGAGGCAACTATCCTGAGTTATTGTAGACAACAGTGTTGAGAGACGACCATCTAGAAGTGATTGTGGAGACTGAGAGGCAACTATCCTGAGTTATTGTAGACAACAGTGATGAGAGACGACCATCTAGAAGTGATTGTGGAGACTGAGAGGCAACTATCTAGAAGTGATTGTGGAGACTGAGAGGCAACTATCCTGAGTTATTGTAGACAACAGTGATGAGAGGTAACCATCTAGAAGTGATTGTGGAGACTGAGAGGCAACTATCCTGAGTTATTGTAGACAACAGTGTTGAGAGACGACCATCTAGAAGTGATTGTGGAGACTGAGAGGCAACTATCCTGAGTTATTGTAGACAACAGTGTTGAGAGACGACCATCTAGAAGTGATTGTGGAGACTGAGAGGCAACTATCCTGAGTTATTGTAGACAACAGTGTTGAGAGTCGACCATCTAGAAGTGATTGTGGAGACTGAGAGGCAACTATCCTGAGTTATTGTAGACAACAGTGTTGAGAGACGACCATCTAGAAGTGATTGTGGAGACTGAGAGGCAAACTATCCTGAGTTATTGTTGAGAGACGACAACAGTGTCCTGAGTTATTGTAGAGTGTTGAGAGACGACCATCTAGAAGTGATTGTGGAGACTGAGAGGCAACTATCCTGAGTTATTGTAGACAACAGTGATTGAGAGACTGACCATCTAGAAGTGATTGTGGAGACTGAGAGGCAACTATCCTGAGTTATTGTAGACAACAGTGTTGAGAGACGACCATCTAGAAGTGATTGTGGAGACTGAGAGGCAACTATCCTGAGTTATTGTTGTAGACAACAGCAACAACTATCCTGAGTTATTGTAGACAACAGTTGAGAGGTGACCATCTAGAAGTGATTGTGGAGACTGAGAGGCAACTATCCTGAGTTATTGTAGTTGAGAGACTGAGACAACTAGAAGTGATTGTGGAGACTGAGAGGCAACACTATCCTGAGTTATTGTAGACAACAGTGTTTAGAGGTGACCATCTAGAAGTGATTGTGGAGATTGAGAGGCAACTATCCTGAGTTATTGTAGACAACACCATCTAGAAGTGTTGTGGAGACGACCATCTAGAAGTGTTGATTGGAGACTGAGAGGCAACTATCCTGAGTTATTGTAGACAACAGTGTTGAGAGTGACCATCTAGAAGTGATTGTGGAGACTGAGAGGGCAACTATCCTGAGTTATTGTAGACAACAGTGTTGAGAGGTGACCATCTAGAAGTGATTGTGGAGACTGAGAGGCAACTATCCTGAGTTATTGTAGACAACAGTGTTGAGAGGTGACCATCTAGAAGTGATTGTGGAGACTGAGAGGCAACTATCCTGAGTTATTGTAGACAACAGTGTTGAGAGACGACCATCTAGAAGTGATTGTGGAGACTGAGAGGCAACTATCCTGAGTTATTGTAGACAACAGTGTTGAGAGTCGACCATCTAGAAGTGATTGTGGAGACTGAGAGGCAACTATCCTGAGTTATTGTAGACAACAGTGTTGAGAGGACCATCTAGAAGTGATTGTGGAGACTGAGAGGCAACTATCCTGAGTTATTGTAGACAACAGTGTGAGAGACGACCATCTAGAAGTGATTGTGGAGATTGAGAGATCCTGAGAGGCAACTATCCTGAGAGCAACTATCCTGAGTTTGTAGACAACAGTGATGAGAGGTGACCATCTAGAAGTGATTGTGGAGACTGAGAGGCAACTATCCTGAGTTATTGTAGACAACAGTGTTGAGAGACGACCATCTAGAAGTGATTGTGGAGATTGAGAGGCAACTATCCTGAGTTATTGTAGACAACAGTGTGGAGAGACGACCATCTAGAAGTGATTGTGGAGATTGAGAGGCAACTATCCTGAGTTATTGTAGACAACAGTGTGGAGAGACGACCATCTAGAAGTGATTGTGGAGATTGAGAGGCAACTATCCTGAGTTATTGTAGACAACAGTGTTGAGAGTCGACCATCTAGAAGTGATTGTGGAGACTGAGAGGCAACTATCCTGAGTTATTGTAGACAACAGTGATGAGAGGTAACCATCTAGAAGTGATTGTGGAGACTGAGAGGCAACTATCCTGAGTTATTGTAGACAACAGTGTTAAGAGACGACCATCTAGAAGTGATTGTGGAGACTGAGAGGCAACTATCCTGAGTTATTGTAGACAACAGTGATGAGAGATGACCATCTAGAAGTGATTGTAGAGATTGAGAGGCAACTATCCTGAGTTATTGTAGACAACAGTGTTGAGAGGTAACCATCTAGAAGTGATTGTGGAGATTGAGAGGCAACTATCCTGAGTTATTGTAGACAACAGTGATGAGAGGTGACCATCTAGAAGTGATTGTGGAGATTGAGAGGCAACTATCCTGAGTTATTGTAGACAACAGTGTTGAGAGACGACCATCTAGAAGTGATTGTGGAGACTGAGAGGCAACTATCCTGAGTTATTGTAGACAACAGTGATGAGAGGTAACCATCTAGAAGTGATTGTGGAGACTGAGAGGCAACTATCCTGAGTTATTGTAGACAATAGTTTTAAGAGACGACCATCTAGAAGTGATGACAAACTATTGAATGTAAAATTTGCCTAGTAAAACCAAACAGCCAAATATTGCTGGGGTTTGTTCTGCGACATCCTACCCTGTCTAGCTGTTCCTGTGCGGATCGGAAGGTTGTGGGTTCGCTCCCTGGCAGAGCCCGACTTTTTGTCAGAAAACGACCTTGACTCCCAGGTCAACCAAGTCTTGAGTGGGTACCGGGTGCAGTCCTAGGAAGTAAAGGCGGTCGGCGTGATGCTGACCACATCACCCATATTGTGCCGATTGGTCTCTATAAAAATATAGGTCTAGCCTAAATTCCCTGTACACGTAAAGGGGGAAAAGGGTCCTTAACTTTTATTTTATTTACTTTTATTCTGCCCTGTAAAGTGTACATAACTAACTTTTTAGAGAGAGACAGACAGACAAAGAGAGATAGACAGAAAGAGATGGTTTAAAGATCAGCTTGACTATGATATGAAGATCTGTGTAAACTTGCATGGATCATGCATGGAGTGGGGAATTAGGAAGAGAGTGAGGAGAGGACAAAGGTGACAGTGATTGCAGATAGGTTGAGAGCTGAGTGTCTGAGAAAAAATGTTGTATGTTAAATTAATAATTGACATCACAGCACTTGGGACACTTCCAAAAATGCTCAGTCCTCATCTTCAGTAGCAAGCGAAGAGTTCCAATTCCTATGGCACCTGTAACCATCTGACTGTATATCTGTCTCATCCTTGCCCTGAGTGTTGAGCGTCAACTAGATCCCCTGGTAACTCCTCACAGCGCCATTCTCATCAGACCCTAATGATCTGTCTGTGCCTCTGCACTGTTCACTTGATCTGGAAAACATTCCTTAACATGCGCTGGTCTAGCTAGACACTCTCGCCAAAGCTGTAACCTGTGGAGTTATCCTAAACTGAATAGGTTAAACTGGTGCAGCGAAGTATATCCTCACGAGTCTTAACTGTCATCCTCATCATCATTATTAGCCATGGCGGTAAGCGTAGGCTGTCATGTTTCACCATCTCAGATGATCACCAGAATCACAGATCAGCTCAATGTTTTTTGTCTCGTCCTATCTGTCTGTGCTGTGAGGCTATTCCAGTTGCCATATTTTCAGTTTATTCCTTCTAAATAACATGATATTCTTGTCTGCTCATTATGTTTCTCCTTCTTCTTTGTTCATTAGCAGTGAGCTCTGGCTGAAAGTCCTTACTGTTCATCCATTTAGACTTTGGTTTTGTGCCAGGGCTCATTTGTGTGCAGTTGATTGCTCCTTGCCACTTGGCAGATGCCCTCTGACTGAAGGAAGCTCCCAGTTAGTTGACTCCTACGACATGCTTGTTGGGGAAGCACTGGGTCTGTTCTTGTTTTCCCTATAATGGGGCCCCTGAAATGTTTAAGGAGAATTCTACGAATATTTTGGCCAAATAAGATCACAAATGAAGAACTGAGGAGGAAAACAGAAGGTTCATCACTGGTAGATGTTATCAAAGTAAGACAATGGAAATGGCTTGGACATGTTTGCAGAATGCCTTTTGACACTGGCAAAAACAGCTAGCTCTCTGGTGGACAGCAGATGGGAAAAAGAGACGCGAATGGCCTAGGGAAACTTGAAGAAGAACAATAGAATGGGAAATGAAGAAATGTTAACTAACATGGGATACCATGGGCAGAAAAGCAGCAGACCGGCAGCAATAGAGATCACTTTGTGAATGCCTTATGTGTCAACAGCGACATGAAGAGGATATCGAATGATGCCCCAGAGCCCACACTGGTTTAACATACATGTAACAACTCAGGTTTTACATAGCACTTGAACACTCTTTTTCCCGCTGCAACTGTCATCTTATTGATAAGAATCTTTTGCATCTTGCTAAATGTCACTTTTGCCATGGCAATTCATGTTCTAACTATAAATTAAACTGTTAAATAGAGGGTGAGGTGGTTCAGACGTCTGAGAACATCTATAACCTGGCACATTGAGTAACATAATGCACATTTTAATTTTGCAGCGTCATGCCTTTTAACTGTGCCGTTAATATCCTTGACTGTTTCTTCTATGATGGAGCAAGGGTGAGTCTTCATCTTTGTTTTGTTTAATAAATTTAAAAAACAAAAATGAAAATTTGCTTTCAAGTCAGTAGAAATATTTGTTTCCTTACATGTTCATTTCAGATCCTAAATAAACACAGTTTCCTTTATGGGTTCCAGGGCTCCATTTATGGTGGGGGGGGGGGGGGGGGTGGGATAGAACCACTGCCCCCAACAAGCATTTTATAAAAGGTGGCTAACTTGGGATGTTTCCTGTGAAGTCGGAGTGCATCAGCTTGAGAGGTGGGGAACCAGCAGTCTGCTGACAAAAGTCACATGTGTAAACTGTTTTTGTGACATGCTTGTGGGGCAGTGTATTTTTTGTTCTCCAAAATGGAGCCCTAGAACCTACAGCAGGAGGAACCAAGGTCGGTTTCTGAAGATAAAAGAATCTGCATCGATGTGGATTTGAACCCAAGTCCTCCAGACCAGCAGGTCAGTGTCTAGCCAGTGCATTATGGGAGCTCCTAGAGGGCACATTAGACAGGAGAACCTAATTAGATTGACCTTGTCACCTCCCAACTATGAAGAAACAAGTATACCAAGAATCATGGCAAATAATACACCTCTGAACTCTTTGACGGGGTTTAGCATCAGAGGCTCAAGGGATAGTCAAGAGAGACGTGAAATCGGCGCATCTTGTGTTCATTGGGCCTCTAGGTAGGAACCTGTGAACGTATGATGTGTTCCGTGGGACTGAAAGAGTTAAAGAAGAGGATCATTAGCCAAGTCTGTCACTCATAGCTGCTGTAGCTTATTTATTTTCTGTAATAATTGACACTCAGTACCACAGTATTTCATCAGCATCATCATCTTCCTCTTGTGTGACATTGCATGTCACATTGGGCTCGCAGTCTGTTATTCTGTTCCATTCTGTTTTCAATATTATGTATGGAATCCAGTCCAGTACCTTGGTCTCTCTCATCAGCTTTCATTTCAAGGTTTCTCTTTAACATCATTTTCTGAATCAATTTTTTTTTTCACGTTCAAGTGCCTGTTTAGTGATTTTCATGTTATTTCAGTGTTTTATGTTTTTCCCTGATGATTGATATTTGTTTTGATGCAGGTGTAAATAAAAATTAGATTTCTAAGAGTATGCATCTTTCCCATTGCAACATATGCCTGAGGGACCTGGACACTTATAAACAAGCTGAACAGCGCATAAATGCCTTTGAATACAAATGTTATAGATGGGTTCTAAGAATATCCTGGGTAATGAAAAGAACAAATGCTTCCATACTTCAAGAACTCAATGCTGAAGAAGGTTGGCTATTAAAGACGATAAAACATAAAAAATTGAAATATTTTGGTCACTTGAAACGTCATGAAAGTTTAGAAACAATAATGGAGGGGTTTATGCCTGGGAAGAGAGGAAGAGGAAGACTAAAGAGAAGATGGGTGCAGGATGTGGCGGATGATCTCCAGATGGGTGTATCAGACACGGGACATCTTGCTGGTAATCGAGACATTTTCTGGAGGGTTGTTAGAATGCAAAGGACAGGCTACTGACTGACTGACTGTCTGACAGGTGTGAATATCTCTTCAAAGCATTTTAATTTTTTCATCTTTATTTCTTCTTTTTTGCGTTCACCAGCTTTAAACTCCAGTGGAAAATTCTGGGCATTCGTCCGCCTCAGAACTTTAGTCTTGTTCTAGAACCTGAGTGTTGCATGCACATCAAAAATATAGATTTACCTCATTGTACGGAGACTGTCGGTTCCTTGCCTCTTAGGCAGATGCACTGTGACTTTGAAGGAAGCCCCTAGTTAGTCAGCTCGTACGACATGCCTGTTGGGGAAGTAGTGGGTCTGTTCTTGTTTTCCTCACAAAAGTAGGTCCCAGAACCCACATGGGGAATCTTTATTTAAAAGGAATTGTTTTAAGTAATGATTTCTTAGAAAGTTTAATTTAAAATTTGTCCTTGATATATTTCTATTTGTCCTGAAGGTTATATTCCAAGTCGCCCTGACCATTCTTGACACCAAGAGAGAAGAGCTCCTAGCCTGTCGTGAGGATGGAGAAGCAATGGCTGTCCTGTGTGACTTCATGGACAACATAGTCAACAGTAACTCCACAACACCAAACATCATGCATACATCCAATTCTTTTGGGGAAGACAAGTCTGTGGAGGTAACTGTAGTTTCTAACATTCAAAAGTCTCTACTGGCCGGTTCTGCACCACTTAGTGGTGAACTGATGTGTGACCAGCTGGATGTTGTGAGGGCCCTTTCGGATAGATTATTACGGTCTGAGGAGAATGGCACTGCGAGGAGTTACCAGGGGATCTGGCCAACAACACTCAGGGGGAAGGCGAGATGGATATACAATGAGACAGTTACTGGTACCATCAGAATTTTAACTCTTTGCATGCTGCTGAAAATGTGGTCGTATAGGGGTGTCCCGAGTGCTGTGATGTTGATTTTTAATTCAGCATTTAGCATTGAACATTCAAAAGTTTCTAGGTACTCAGATCGACTGGATCTGCCCCACTTGGTGGTCATTTGGTACTTGACAAGCTAGATGATGTCAAAGCCCTGTTTGAAGCATAAATAGATCATCAATGCAACAGCTGGGAGACTTGTCCAGGACATAAACTAAGGGTTTCTCAGCAAAAGAGAAATTAGAAGAGGATGAAAATGGTTGAATGCCGCTCTACCTATGTGCCAGTCCTGACCTACTAGTGTCAGCTGTGGACAGTGACAAATGCTCTCAGAGGACAGCTTCAGGCCTCAGAAATGAGCTGTCTGAGAAAGGTGGTCCATGTGACAAGAATAGACAAAGTCACCAGACATTCTAAATTAAATCCTAGGCTCACAGTGTTACACCATGCACTCAGCTCAGTCGATGGGGGGACAAAACTATATCTTTTCAGTCTGCAAATGGAGGAAATTACCGAAGCCACTATCTGTCAGAAGAAAAATTTACCATGACTAATACTGACTGAAACTGCACTACTGCTTTCTCCAGCATTTTAATTTCTATTTTTTAATTTGAGGAGTGTTTTCATGTCTTCATGTTTATTGATTTCTGTCCTCACAGAACAGTGTTGATGTCTTCATGTTTATTGATTTCTGTCCTCACAGAACAGTGTTGATGTCTTCATGTTTATTGATTTCTGTCCTCACAGAACAGTGTTTTCATGTTTATTGATTTCTGTCCTCACAGAACAGTGTTTTCATGTCTTCATGTTTATTGATTTCTGTCCTCACAGGACAGTGTTGATGTCTTCATGTTTATTGATTTCTGTCCTCACAGAACAGTGTTTTCATGTCTTTATGTTTATTGATTTCTGTCCTCACAGAACAGTGTTGATGTCTTCATGTTTATTGTGTGTCCTCACAGAACAGTGTTTTCATGTCTTTATGTTTATTGATTTCTGTCCTCACAGAACAGTGTTGATGTCTTCATGTTTATTGATTTCTGTCCTCACAGAACAGTGTTGATGTCTTCATGTTTATTGTGTGTCCTCACAGAACAGTGTTTTCATGTCTTCATGTTTATTGATTTCTGTCCTCACAGAACACTGTTGATGTCTTCATGTTTATTGATTTCTGTCCTCACAGAACAGTGTTTTCATGTCTTCATGTTTATTGATTTCTGTCCTCACAGAACACTGTTGATGTCTTCATGTTTATTGATTTCTGTCCTCACAGAACAGTGTTTTCATGTCTTCATGTTTATTGATTTCTGTCCTCACAGAACAGTGTTGATGTCTTCATGTTTATTGATTTCTGTCCTCACAGAACAGTGTTCATGTCTTCATGTTTATTGATTTCTGTCCTCACAGAACAGTGTTGATGTCAGCGACATCATCCAGTCAAGCTACCAGAAATTCTGGTCAATCACCAATCAGGACATCAATAAACTGCGTCTGAAGCATCGGCTCAAAGTCGTCCAGGTAGGCTGTTTCGTCATCGTCATCCTCATTATCATCATCACAATCATATTGCAGGTCCTTTGCAGAACATATCTTTTATCATGGTCCTCTAGAAGATTGTCAGTTTGTTTTTGTAGAGCTTTATATCTTTGTTATCTTACTTGTTATCTTATCTCGTCATCATCATGTAGCAGGTCTTTTGCAGAACATCTCTCTCATCACGGTCTGCCTGAAAGAGATTCTCTCGCCATCTCTCCCACCTCATGTACTTTCATATTGAAAGCGTCACTTATATCCTGTGCCCATCTTCATGTTGGTCGAGCTCTGCCTCTCCATCCTGGTAGCATGTCTTCTGCTCTTATTTTTTCCAGTCCACCGCTGCGCTTGACATGACCTAAACATTTCCTTTTTTGAGACAAGATGTTGTTTAGTTGCCAGTCTTTATTGATGTTCCAATCTTTTTAAATGTCAGTATTTCTTGTTATCTAGTTTTAAATAATACCTGTTGTTTTGCCTGTTTTTTTTTTTTTAAACTAGAAGTTTAAATTCTTGTCTTGTTTGTTTAATATAATAAATCATACCCATTGTTTTATGTAGTTTGCTTTGTCTGCCTCTGTTTTTTTTTGTTTTTTTTTGTATTTAAACTGTTGTCTGGTTTTGATAAAATGATTGCTACTGTCCTGTTCTACTCTAATTTTTGTCTGTTTGTAAAAATGATTGCTACTGTCCTGTTCTACTCTAATTTTTGTCTGTTTGTAAAAATGATTGCTACTGTCCTGTTCTACTCTAATTTTTGTCTGTTTGTAAAAATGATTGCTACTGTCCTGTTCTACTCTAATTTTTGTCTGTTTGTAAAAATGATTGCTATTGTCCTGTTCTACTCTAATTTTTGACTGTTTGAAAAAAAAAAATCCTGTTGACATGCTTGTTTTTTTTTTTTCTCAATCATGCCTGTTGTTTTGTCTGTTGTCATATTTATACTGGTTGATGTTTTTGGTGTCATTTTAAATAGTCTTTTGATCTTTTCTGCTTCTTAAAAAAAATATTTTTTTGTTTCTTTTTTCATCTGCAGACAATTGAAGACAGCGTCAAAAGAAACATCTTACGGAGTGTGGCTACACACACGAAATTTGAAGGCAAGGAGCTGGAGGATTTGTACTTCCTGTTTAAGGTAGCTGTTTGTTGCTAAAGCTAGCTGTTTGTTGCTAAATGAAAGGTTAATAGCTCTTATTCAACCTTTTCACCCTGGAAACCGTAAATTAAAAAAAAAAGCTATTTACCCAGAAGTGTATTAACAACTAGCTGTGCCCGGCTACGAGTTTCTGTGACTTAGTTTGGCTAAATGGAAAAGTAAGAAAATTGAAAGAGCATGTGTCTGTAATGGTTAATTTAGCAGCCATTCTCTGTGCAGATAAAGAGAAAGTCTAGTTAGTCGACTTTAGAACATGCAACATATAATTGTGTACACATCTCTGTTGCTTCCAAATTCTTCTTAATTTGTTCACTGACATTCCAAGATTTGCTGCCATACAGCAGAGATACCACAAAATATTCTAGATAACGAATTTTACAATGTGTTGACTATATTTGCATTATTTCATTGAATTTAATGTGTTGTATGTGTATTTTATTAAACAGGAAGAATACCTCACTTCCTGTTACTGGCGCACTAGTCAACATGTGGACACGACAGATAAATTTGACCCCAATCGACCCTATTATGACCAGTACAAAGTTGATTTTGACCAGTTTCGAACTCTGTTCCTATCACTGTCACCATGGGCGACGGGACAGCATGCACCAGTGCTAGCACTGAGAACTTTTCGGGTGAGTGACCAATGTTTCAGACTACAGATGTTCACTAACTGGTTTCTGCAGGGAATAGAGGGGGTTAAATGGTATGATACAATCATAAATATGGAGCTTGAGGAGAGAACTAAATAAGTTCCGGTGAAAAAAAAATTAAGAAAAGACACTGGTGATGGATAGGACACATTGTGAGAAAACCTGTCAACAGTATAACTAGAATGTCTTTTCACTGAAACCCACATGGTCATGGAAGTAAAGAGAGACCAGAAACACACGTAAAATGAAACTACAGAGAGAAGTTGAAAAGATAAGGATGACATGGAGAGAGCTATCTGATAGAAAAGGATAGGATGACTTGGAGTGAGTTGGTTGAGGGCCTATGCTCCATTGGGGATTAGAAAGGTAGAAGATAATATAAAACATGTTCATCATCTAGTTTGCAGGACATATTAGACAGGTTGAGGGCTTATGTTGTACATATTAGAAACTTGTCTGCATCATAGCCCGCACAAGATTTTATGTCAACTCCCATTCATGCCGTGCCCTGTTTCCATGGGCTGCTGTATGTTCTAGGGGTGTTAGCATGTGTGTTGCTTCGATACACACCGTGCAGCCATGGTTTGAGATTTGGTGACATTTTGCGGCAAGGCCCGTCTGGGGGTCCTAAAAATGAAATTCATCTTGAAGTTTAAGTCACCAAGTATGTGACAGCGTTTTAACACACACTGTATCAACCGGTGGCTCACAGCCTACTCGCCACTCAAAGCTTTGAATATAGACTGCGTACAGCATTGAAAAAATGAAACAGGAATGAAAATAGCATGACACCCCTACAAGATAGTACAGCATGTGGCAAATCTCATGTGGGGCATGATGGGGGCAAGTTCATGGTATGTATCGCCTAGGTTTCACTATGGAGGGGGGGGGGGGAAGGCTTAAGAGTAGAAGAAGTAGCTGACTGATGTTTTGGTTGGTTATTTTATGCCTGTATCTCCATGGTGATTTAGAAAGGGCATTCAGAAAGTAATGCAAGCTGTTTTTTCTGGTCACATTTACCATCACAGTGAACAGTGATTCCTAAGCCTCCTTATTCTCTTCTCCCTTTCTAACCCCCAGTGGAGCATAGGCACTCAACCAGCTCAGGCCAGGTCTTTCTATCCTTTGCTATTGAATGCAGCTCTCGCCATGTCTTCCCCATCTTTTTAACTTCACTCTTTAGCCCTCCATGTGTATTTTGGTCTTTCTTTGTTTCTATGCCTCTGTGGGTTCCAGTGCAAAGACATTCTAGTTATATTGTTCTCAGGTTTTCTCAACATGTGTCCTATCCAAATGCCGTCTTTTCTTCACCTCTTGGTCCACTGGAACTAGCCTCCTTATAGCACAGTGTAATATCATATGAAAAATTGAAAACTGCCGTAGGATCCATCAACACCCAGCTACGTCCCAAGTGGTCTGGGGGTTAGGATTCGCACTGTTTCTGAAGATCAGCTGGTGAGAGTTTCTTTCAGGCAGACTGTGATGAGAGTCATGTTCTGCAAAGGACCTTCTACAGGATGATGCAGTGCAGGCAGGCGGAAGTGTGTGAATTCAGGTTTTTGGGCCGCCTGTCATCATGGAGTGTCTGGGTTCAGATTTTACTTTTGTATCCAACAGAAAAAAAATTCATATCTTTACTGAGGATTCAAACCCAACTCCCACATGAGATCTCTGCGTTCTTAACTATTCAGCCATGTGCTCCTCCGAGTTTTAAACGCTTTGAAAAAACAAACTTACTTGATGGTTTTCTTTTTTAGTTTATATTGAGTCAGTGTTTGAGAGCTTCAGCAAATTAGAGAGAGTTTCAGCGAATTGTTTTTGATGTTTCATCAACACAGTTGCTCGATGAAAACAAGGACAACCTGATCAACTTCAAGGAGTTTGTCAGTGTCCTGGGCATCATGTGCAAGGCTGATGTCACAGCAAGGATCAAACTGTTGTATCTGCTACATTTGCCACCAGCGCTGCTGCCCACAGACCCTTTAGATGATTCTCCTAGCTCTCCCAAATCGGAAGGTATGTGGGTACTTTTGCTAGTGTTTGTTTGTGGGTACTTTTGCTAGTGTTTGTTTGTGGGTACTTTTGCTAGTGTTTGTTTGTGGGTACTTCTGCTAGTGTTTGTGGGTGAGTACTTTTGCTAATGTTTTTGTGTGGGTACTTTTGCTAGTAGTTGTGGGTGTGTACTTTTGCTAGTGTTTGTGTGTGGGTACTTTTGCTAGTGTTTGTGTGTGAGTACTTTTGCTAGTGTTTTTGTGTGAGTACTTTTGCTAGTGTTTGTGTGTTGGTACTTTTGCTAATGTTTATGTGTGGGTGCTTGTGCTAGTAGTTGTGGGTGAGTACTTTTGCTAGTGTTTGTGTGTGGGTACTTTTGCTAGTGTTTGTGTGTGAGTACTTTTGCTAGTATTTGTGTGTGAGTTACTTTTGCTAGTGTTTGTGTGTGGGTACTTTTGCTAGTGTTTATGTGTGATAACTTTTGCTTGTGTTTATGTGTGGGTACTTTTGCTAGTGTTTGTGTGTAAGTACTCTTGCTAGTAGTTGTGAGTGGGTACTTTTGCTGGTATTTGAAGACTTTTGTATATGTGTCCTTTTTCTAGTGTTGGTATATGAGTACTTTTGCCTGTGTTGGTAAACGCATCGTAACGTCAGCAGCATGTTCTGTCAGCTGGAGCCGGTTGTCTTCCAGGACATGAGTTTTCCCTGCACATCCATTTTACAGATGTGGCTTTTTGTGTGTGCAGACTGTTGGTTTCTCGACACATAATGCAGGGTTTAGTCCTGCAGTAGCTAATTTAGTTGTGTTCATTGACTGATATTTCATACATTTGGTCAGGTTTATGTTTTCTTGGAATATTTTTTGTATCTTGTCAGAATCGGTGGAGGCAGCAGTAGATGCAGCCGACTTCTTTGATGAGGCAGACACACCAGCAGATGATGGTAAGTTTTCTAGTCATTGTCAGTTCAGGGAAAGATCACTCTCGAGAATAGAACTCTTCTTCACTTCCTCTTTTGCCTTTGGTGTTAAAAGAGAGACAGGATTTCATTTCTTGCTTTTCTGGCTGCTTTGAACATAAACACTTGATATTGTCACATTCTTTACATTTTTTAAAGTTGTCTTTTCACATTCTTCTTGGTTTAAGAGGCTGCGTGGTCTTGAGGCATGGTGTCCGCCTCCAGTGCTAGAGAATCCGGGTTCAATCCCCGGTAAGGGCTGGGATTTTTTCACGTAGACTTGGACTTCTAGTTATTCCCCCTAGTACCTGGTCTCTGGGTAGTAAGATGGGACACCTGTGTGCATTCGTTGGGAAAAATTTGGAATTACAAATCTTATCAAAGTATTTCAGGATTCTCGCCGGTGTTACAAAGCCTGTAGAGTCAGAAGAAGAACAGAGAACTTATGGGTACTACCCGTGTGCCATGATGTTTATCCGTTGTTCAAACCTCAGTTCTTCTTAGTTTTTATAGTCTTAATCATATAATTTAGAGGTTTATCAGCAGATGCGAGAAGAAGCTAGATGTATTGGCCGAGAAGCACAGATATTGCTGTCATGCTGTAATCATGCTACAGTTGTGTCCTAAACAAAATATATCAGACGAGTGAAGAAGGCAGTTAATATTTGTATTATTATAGATTGACATGTATTCTTTTTCTGCTTTGTCCACCATTAACCCTTTTGCTCCATACAAATTTTAAAACATGACCTTTTCCCAAATTTCTTTCTTTCTTTTTCTTTCTTTCTCTCTCTCTCTTACTTTCTTTCTTTCTTAAATGCGTCCTTATAATTCCATGAAACTTTCCCCCTAAGAAACCAGGGGAATAGAAGAAGAAGCAGAAGAAATTTTGAGTCTGGGTCAGTTGTGATAAAAGTTCAGGGGTTGAACCTCTAGACCACCAGATAGACAGGAAAACATCAAGGCCACTGCTACCATCAGACAGACAGGAAAACATACAGGCCACTGCTACCATCAGACAGACAGGAAAACATACAGGCCACTGCTACCATCAGACAGACAGGAAAACATACAGGCCACTGCTACCATCAGACAGACAGGAAAACATACAGGCCACTGCTACCATCAGACAGACAGGAAAACATCAAGGCCACTGCTACCATCAGACAGACAGGAAAACATACAGGCCACTGCTTCATCGAAGCTGCCAGGTGCCTAAAAATAATGATTTTTTATGAAGTGGAATAATGACTTAATTCAAATGGGGGCAAAGAATTAACTGTTTTCCTTTGACCATAATAAATGTGATTTTGTTGACTTAGTAAAGTGATGTCATTATGAGATTATATATAACCTCACAATTTTCACACACACACACACACATTTGGCATTTACAAATCAACTATTATGTAGGCATAAGTCAGCTCTGTGGCTAAGTTGATGCGAACCTTTTGAAATGCCGGAGTGCTGGGTTCAATACCTGCTGCGGGCCATGCACCTTGCGTTGGTTTCGACAGTGGTATCAGGGGGCCAACTGTCCGGAAAGCAAAGGCAAACTACTGGACGCAAATTTGCCTAGAGAAACCACACAACAGCCAGAGGCTGCTGAGGTTGTCTCTGCAACATCCTGTAAAGGATACGCAACTAACCTATGTAGGCATAATAGCCCCTGCCCAAAGACTCAGGTTAGCAAAAACATGTAAGTGCCTTTAAAATTAAATAAAAAATGAATTCTCGGGTGACAGGGTTAAAAGAGTGTTTGGCACATCGTGTAGTGGTTCATAGCTAGTCTACAATCTTTGCATCTTTTGGCCCAGCACATTCCATTTCAGCCAGTCCTTAATTAGCCACTTTTTAGGGGCCATTTATGCGGGTCCTCCCATAGATTTTTATTACATCTTTGAGAATCGAACGACTCATCTTATGAATCTTGACCATTTTAAAGATAATTTGATGTTTTTCATGTTTTTTATCCAATGACAGAAGGTATTCTAACCTCATATATCAAAATTATTAGTTAAAATGCTTCTCTCTGATAGTATCTTGCAGATATAGGTCTATCCACCCTCCCCCAACACCACATGGGGTCCCATAACCCACATGGGGTCCCAAGACCCACATGGGGAGACAAATATTCTACATTTTTTGTTTCTTTTATTGTTCAGACTTGGAACTGCCAAGACTGCCATACAGTCCAGCATCAGACGCTATCGTCGTTCCGCGACCTGTGGAGATCAAGCCAGACAGCTCTAGTGTTGACCCGCGGCCACAGCTAGTGGAACTGGTTCCTGTTGGGACACCATCAAATATTGACAGTGAAGAGGAGGAGGAGGAGAGTTCTCAGTCAGAGGATAGCAGGGTGGATCCTGAGCCAGCTGGTGATGTCTCTGGTGGGAGTGAAGCCGATGTTGCTGGTGGTCAGAAATCAGAAGCAGAGGCAGGTGGAGAATATAAGGAAGCTGTAACTCCGGTTAAGCGGCCAGATAAACTTGTGCCTAGCGCAGGTTAGTGTTGGGACATGCAGCTAGTTTATAATATTTTTATCTTGTAATTTCCATGATGTTTTTATTATATGGTTTAAATTTTTGAAAATGTGACTATAATTGAAATCACCCATTTAACTGCATCAGTGATGCTCAAGAAAAATTTAGGAGAATAAATTTAGAGAAACCAGGACTGCAAACCAGTTTCATTAAAAAGGAACAGATGAGGTGGTTTAGACAACTGAAGAGGTACTAACTGTCATAGACAAGGATGCTTGGAGCAGAGTGGCAAGCTTCACTGGAAAGGTCTTTTCTCTAGGCCATGCTGGCGTAGCGAGTAATAAACAGGCACAAAGATTGGCTGGATCTGCACCACTGGATGGTGAATGAATACATGACAAGGCAGATGTGGTCAAGGCTCTTTGGGAACAAGCAGTAGAATCAGTAGAGAAACAAGATTATTATGGCCTGGAGAGAATGAGGCACCTGGGTGTAACCAGAGGGTCTGGCCGGCTCACTACACTCAGAGGAAAGGCAAGACGGACATATAACCAGATTGTGACCGGTACCATGAGTATTGGAACTCTGCGCTGGCTGCTGAAGATGAGGACAGAGTACACATGGGAATGCCCTGAGTGCTGTGATATCAATACTTGACTCAACTCAGCTCAACTTTAACTGTCATAGAGAACCATGCTAAAGAAATATAATGACACAGAACTAGGAGAAGGCTCTATAAAAAAATGGGAACAACAGAATTAAGAACAACATTCAAGAGAACACACAGAAGATTCTTATGTCTCCCCCATCACTTTGATGAAGCAACTTGAGGAAGAGAAGAAGTAGAAGAATTTGTTTTAATTTTGTCATTTTTATGAGATATTTATTTTATGCTTTCTTTTCTTTTTTTTTAAGCCTATACTGTGTGGTGTTGGTTATCATGCCTGTACCTTTTCTTCTGTTACATACACTCTCAGGAATTTTTTTTTAGACAAGTACAGCTTTAAAACACAACTAGGAGTGGCAGCAGTGTTGATCTCAGGAGCTGTCTCGCACTGAGAAGAAATACCATTTGAGACAGCTTTTTTTTATACGTATATGAAATAAATGAAAGATCATTGCATCATCCCTTTGTAAATTACATTTAAATGACCTTTAGTTAAAGCAGCTCTTAACCTGTCTGCAGTCCCTTTCTCCTCTGTCCCTATTAAAATCGTGTTTTCCTCCTCGATGAAATGCAATCCCCGGCATCCTCTTCCCATGATTCTGCTTGAATGCCTGCATCATTCCTGCCCTGCTTGTAAGTAAATTTTACCCCACCAGGACATCACACAGAGCGATAAACACCCAGTGACACAAAGTGCCACCATGTGGATGAGGATCACCCGTCGAGAGGTCCTAAAAACCACGTTCAGCCTTCAGGTTATATTATGGCCTCCGGCAAAAGCCAGGGTGGGGCTTCAAGTGAACGATAAATTGCGTCCCACAGGGAGGGGACATTAATAGCGATGAAGTGCCTTGCTTGTACACATCATTAAATTATAGTAGAAGCCAACCTAAGATCTTTTGCCCATCTGCAATTCACTATAAAGGATGTCCTTAGGACATAGCTCTTACCTAAAATGAAAGCAGTATTGTATTGTACATCCCACCCACCTTTTCCCTCTGTAATGTAGAATATATTGCTGCATTTGTTTAAAATACATAGCTGCATTTCTGACTCATCCTGTAGCCATATTAAAATTGCCTCCCCTTTTTATATTTGACAAGAGTTATGCCCCTTTGTTGTTTTGGGCACCAGCTATATTTTCACCGGGCGCCGCACATCAGACAAACCCACACTGGACTACAGGTGACTTTCTAATTGTTCTATGGTGCCTGGCTTAAACAATGGCTGAAAGTTGAATCGTGTCTTCGGGAATTTTACCTGTGTGATTCTCATCCTTGAGGTGTTAATTCTGCAGACTGCCTTCTTGGAGGAGACAAATCTGGAGCTGCAGTAGCATGGTGGCTAGATGCTTGCTTGCCTGCTCGTTCTGGGGTTCGAATCTGCACTGAGAGTGATTTTTTTTAAAAACTGAAATGGCTCCCGGGTTGATCCTGCCTAAAATGGGTACCTGGTAATTTCCTAGGAAGTAAAGGTGGCTGGTGTGATGTTGACCACATCAAATACTAAGTGCAGATAGGTCTTTACAAATGTGAGTCTTGCCAAATGCGTCATTACAGTGTTTATTATCTTACATTTAACAAAATTGTTTACATTAGAAATATATTTACAGATGTCAAAGGGAGGATCCATTTGCCAACAAAAGTCATCCCCAGACTGAGGGGTGCAAGAAGGGAGGAGTTTGCCAACCTGCCCAGAATGAATCAGGTATCTTTTTTTTTTTTTTTTAATTTTAATTTTATTCAAACTAGAACAGAAAATAACTACCTGTGAAATGCGCTGTCTCCGCAAGGTCACTAACAACATAAGAAGAGACAGGGTTACGAATACCAGCATAAGAGAGAAAATTGGAATAAGACCATGACTGGATTATATTGACAGACAAAGAATGAAATGGTTCATCTATCTAGTGAGAATGCAGCCAGACCAGACTGCATATGAGACTTTTTTACAGTAAAACATCTGGGAGAAAGGTGAGAGGAAAACCAAGAAATGGTATAGCTGAAACCAAGAAAAAGTTGAACAAAATCCATCACTCAAGTCACCTGAGAAGCACAAGACGAACAAAGAAAACTAGACACTGGGCTAGAACCTAATATCAGTAAGATGACAAAAGAAGAAGATTTTTATTCAAAATTCTAAACATTTACTGTGTCATTTCTGTGTTAGAATTTCAACAGCACATTTTTTTTTGCATTAAACAGGTCCAGTTTATTCAGATGTGGCGCTCGCTGTATGACATGTTTACCGATTCATCTGATGAGCAACAGTTGTATCACAGTATCGCAACTGTCGGAACACTGCTCCTGCAGATCGGAGAAGTTGGGAAACGGTTTCGCAACTCAAGTTCTAGTTCGGGAATTTCTGTAGATGAGAAATCTAGTCCTGTTGTCGAGGGGAAGACTTTGTCGTCTGCAGCTGTTGGTGATTTTGGGAAAGCTAAAGAAGCTGATGTTGAGAGTGGTGATGTTGTAGATGATGATGATAAGACAGTGGAGCAGACTGCCAGTAAAACTGGGGCTCAAGGTGATGCTGTGTCTCAGGGTGAAGAGGGTAATGGAGAAGATGTGCGTGACATCAGGCAAGACCCAGAGAATATCAAAGGAGCTGAACTTCAGGCAGAACCTCAAGCTGTGCCAATAAGATCACCAATCGCAAGTGCAGATTCAGAAAAGGGATCACCCCGAAACACAAGTAAACCTGATGATGATTGGTCAATTTCCTTTGAACAGTTGTTGGCCTCAGTGTTAACAGAAACGCCATTGGTTGATTTCTTTGAAAGAATATATGATACAACCGAGGCCGTTGCAGCTCTTCGTAATCGAAGACTGATAACACGAGCCAACCCTCGGCCAGAAAACAAGTCCTAGAAAGTCTAGCTCCAGATTGTGTTATCGTTCTTGTGCTTTCATACCTAAATAAACTACAGGGTATCACATCAGTTTCCATGCATGGGAAAAATAAACATATCACGGCTATAACAAACATAACTCCAGCTGTGCTTATATGTGTTCTTCAGAAGTGGAGGACCCGTATAGAAATATGTTTCCCTATGTATGGAAAATTGTGTGACACTCTGTGTTATCAGTCACTAGTATTTAGCACTGAGGGTTCTCTCAAGTATTAGTAGATAAATTTTTTGTTAATGGGAAGATTCAGATGTCAATTTGCTCTATTTCTGTTTCTGCTATGACCATGTTAATTCTAAAATAAAAATTTTGATTATAATTATTACAGTTAGAAGGTTGAGATTAATCAGAGCATGTATTAATTGTTGCATTTGGAATTGTTACTTGAATTTTCTTCTTCTTCTTTTTTCCTCTCCTCTTTTAGTTTTTCGTACATTCAGATGGCAACCTGAATAAATGTAACTCTTTGGGTACCAAACAGGTCACCCTAAATTGTTTATCTTCTTCCTCCTCCTCCTCTTCTTTTTCTTCTTCTTCTCCTCCTCTTCTTCTTCCTCCTCATCTTCCTCTTCTTTTTCCCTTATTTCTGTCTCCTCCTCCTCCTCTTGTTCCCTCATATTTTCTTTGCTTTTTGTGGGTTCTGTAACCCTTTTTGGTAGGGGGATTCGATTTGATGTGATTCAAGAACCGACATCACAGCACCCGGGGCATTCCCATAAGCGCTCCATCCCCATCTTCAGCAGCCAGCAAAGAGTTCCGATACTAATGGTGCCAGTAGCATTATGATTAAACGTCCGTCTTGCCTTTCCTCCGAACCTCGAGCATCTGCCAGACCCTCTCGTCACTCCACGCTGCATCAATCTCACCAGACTGTGGTGATCCATTTGCTCCTCTGAACTGTACACGCTCTCCCACAAGGCACTAACCACGTCTGCCTTATCATGTATCAGTATTCCACCAAGTTGTGCAGAGCCAGCCAGTCTATCCGCCTGTTCATTTCCCAACACACCGGCGTTCCCCGGTGAAAAAATCCAGACAATACTCCTCATGTCTTCCGCAGCAAAGCATGCCACTCTGCACGAAGCAGACCTGTTCTGATCTTCCTCAGCATGCTTTCTGAATCAGTTACAATTACAATGTGTGTGTGTGTCGTGTTCTCTAGCCAGCGGAAAGCTGCAGTGACCGCCTCCACCTCCATTCTTAAGCTGGATGTTGTGGTATCATATGCTAGGTTCTCCTGCACCAAACGTCGACCATTAACTTTTGCCAAGAAGCCCCAAGCACTTCTTTTGCCTCTTGACACTGAACCGTCTGTGTAAATGATCAAATCCTCTAAGCGAGCATAATCTTGAATTAATTGCTGAATTTCCACCTCTGTGGCACCTGCTGGCCAGTCTCTGCATTCCCGGCTCGCGTGATTATGACTCAACACAAGTCTGACTGTTCAGGTGGCACTTTGACCCACTCTTCTCCTCGCCTAATGTTCTCAAGGATGCAAACCTGTCTGATTGTGTCTTCTGCCTGAGCCATCCATGACCTCCCTCTTATCAGCCGCTGACCCTTAACTGCACCCAGAGCTTCATGCAGAGGGTGATCTGTGTCTGCAGCTACCCTGAGATATGACTTTGCCTGCAGCACCCTGTGCCTACCTGCAACCGTCGGCAAACCAAGGATGGGAGTGAGGGGAGATAGACCCACTGCCCCTTTCTTTTCTCTTTCTTATTCTTCTCCTTCTCTTCTTTTTCTCCTTCTCCTCTTCCTCCTCCTTCTTCATTCACCATAATAATGTCGATTGGCACATTGTGGATTACATCTGGGCTCTGATGTTTGTAGCTTTTGTCCAACACATTCAAACCCAACAGATACACACACAAAAAATTCCCACTTTATTGCGTTCTTCATAAGGGAGCAAGGGGTCTGTTCTACCACCTCCCCTCTCCCAACAACTCTCCAAATGGGGTTACAGGACAAAGTAAATATAATGTTTTTCCTGTGTTCTAGTTGTTGTTAACCCTTTAAATCACTCAGCCTGTCCCACAGTGTCTCTGTTGAAATCTTTCAGATGTCATTATTTGTTGTTTGTCTTTATTCAGTTAATCTGAACATGTTTTTTTTTAACTGTTCCAATAATGTCATATTCAGTTAACTGTGTCATTGTTAATGGGGCATTAATTTGATCATCAATTAATTTTTTTTATTATGAGTGTTACGGTAATCTGATAATCATTTTCAATGTGACATTAATCTGATCTTGTATTGTTTTATTTGGAATATGACATTAATCTGATCTTGTATTGTTTTATTCGGAATATGACATTAATCTGATTATCTGTCAATGGTTTATTTTGGAATTTGAAATTAATCCAATCATCTGTTAATTGTTTCATTTTAAATGTGACATTAACCTGGCCCATTAATTGTTTCATTTTAAATGTGACATTAACCTGGCTCATTAATTGTTTCATTTGGAATCTAATCACTGTTTTATTGTTTCATTTATAAGATTTAGATCAGTTGTCATTCATCATACTGATCTAGTTAATAACTGTTAACTTCTGAATTTTGACCTAATTACTAATGTATTGAATAGTTGCATTGCAAACATTGACATTAAACTGATCATACAATAATTGTTGCTGTTAGAATTAGGACGTTGTTCTGGTTTGTATCAATTATTGCAGAGTTTTGACATTGAACTGATTGGTATTATTACCTTTTAAAGTATCACATGAACGTAATTATATATATCACTGTTTCTGCATTTTAATTTAAATATTGACAGGGCTTATTCTGACAGTACTGGCAGTACCGGCACCTTTTTAAAGCATCATTTTTTTACTTTGAGCACGGTTGTAATAGACACCCTGTGGTGTCTACCTTTTATTAGGCACTTTCTGATGAGTACCAGCACTGTGTTTTTTTTTTTTAAGGAAAGAAGCCCTGAATATTGATTATTTGAACTTTGCTTATAAATCAAGTTGTTAATTGGGTGTGTGGAGATTGCATTCATCATATGAGGTAATATCTCTTCACTGTTACATTTACCTGGGGCGTGATTTTGGGTCCTGACAAAACCAGACTTTTTTTTTTTAAATGACCTCGGCTCCCAGATTGACCCAGCCTTGAGTGGGTACCAGGTGTAGTCCTGGGAAGTAAAGGCGTCTGACTTAATGTTGACAACGTGACCCACCAAGGCATATAGGTCTAGCTCTATATGCCCAATACACCTGAAGGTATGAAAGGGGGGCTAACTTATATCTTCTTCTGTGTAATGGGGAGCCTATGTGGGGGTGGGGGGGGGGCTAACTTACATCTTCCTCTGTGTAATGGGGAGCCCGTGGTGGTGGGGGGGGGGGGCTAACTTACATCTTCCTCTGTGTAATGGGGAGCCCGTGGGGGGGGGGGCTAACTTACATCTTCCTCTGTGTAATGGGGAGCCCGTGGTGGGGGAGGGGGGCTAACTTACATCTTCCTCTGTGTAATGGGGAGCCCATGTTGGGGGGGGGGGGGGGGCTAACTTACATCTTCCTCTGTGTAATGGGGAGCCCATGTTGGGGGCCTGGGGGCTAACTTACATCTTCCTCTGTGTAATGGGGAGCCCATGTTGGGGGCCTGGGGGGGGGGGGGGGGCTAACTTACATCTTCCTCTGTGTAATGGGGAGCCCATGTTGCCATGTTGGGGTCGTGGGGGGGGGGGGGGCTAACTTACATCTTCCTCTGTGTAATGGTGAGCCCATGTTGGGGGGGGGGGCTAACTTACATCTTCCTCTGTGTAATGGGGAGCCCATGTTGGTGGGGGGGGGGGGGGGGCTAACTTACATCTTCCTCTGTGTAATGGGGAGCCTATGGGGGGGGGAGGGGCTAACTTACATCTTCCTCTGTGTAATGGGGAGCCCATGTTGGGGGCGTGGGGGCTAACTTACATCTTCCTCTGTGTAATGGGGAGCCCATGTTGGGGGCCTGGGGGGGGGGGGGGGGGCTAACTTATATCTTCCTCTGTGTAATGGCGAGCCCATGTTGGTGGCGTGGGGGTGGGGGGGGGGGTGTAGACACTCAGAAGCATGTCATAAATGGTGACTAATTAAGGGTTTATGACACTGGGCTACAACCTGGTTTCAGTGAACGAACGAACGAACTTTATTTTCAAAGGGTTACAAATTAGGCACGCAGGCCTGTCTTACATTCGGCCCTTCCAAACTCTCAACTTTTGCACAGCAGTTGTATTTCATCAATAAAGCATGTTATGTTCATGTAATAATATGCATACTATGAATATCAAGTCAAAAACAAAAGCATCGGTGGTAAAACACACACCCACATACACATCCAAACCCATTCACTCACACATACACACATATAGGCACCCAATACACACACACATCCACATACATACGAACATGCACACACACATACATACATACAGACAGACATACATACATTCATACACAGACATGCGCTCTAAAACACATGCATACAACCCAGACACATATAGACACACACAGCTATACACACACACATGCATACACACACGTAGCCGCACAAAAAGACCCATACAAACACACACACCGACGCACACAGACATAAACCCACACAGACACACATGCATGCAGTCACAGTCACACACATGAACACATACACACACGCAGGCAGGGAAACACACACATACACACAAAGGCACGCATACAGTCACACACGTACACATACACACACAGACATGCAGGCAGACGCATAAACCAAAACAGAGACACGCAGAACGACACAACCACGACATTGTGCTACAACCTGGTATCAGTGAGACGACAAAACCACGACACTGGTCTACAACCTGGTATCAGTGAGACGACAAAACCACGACACTGGGCTACAACCTGGTATCAGTGAGGCGACAAAAGAAGAATAATTAATGGTTTGCAGAAATTAAATTTGTTAAGCCAAAAGGGGCAGATATCGCAGCCTAGCTG